CACAAGTGTGTGTATGTGTGTGTTTGTGTTTGAGTGAAAAACAAATTAATTGTAATGCGCAAAACAATCTCCTATTCAACGTGCATTAATCGTAATTTGAAAGTTTATGCCTAAACAGCAACTGTCACTAAAACTGTAATAACGAACACAAGCTCATGATTAAATTAGTAGATTTCTCTTGTCTCTACCCAAATGAAACAACAAAAAAAGCAGCACGTAAGTCAAGACCGATCCTTTACAGAATAAAAAATGTATTCATTTTCCCTGACTGAGCTGGTGGGTTGTTGCTGAGCCTGTGGGAATGTGCACTACATTGATGTTTCTAATGAAGAGCGCTGAGCTCCATTGATCCACCAGGGATAAGAGTGAGCTGTCAAAAGCTATCAGGCAAGTCGAAGACCCACTTTCAGCGATGTGCAGCCGAAGTGAGCGTGAAGCCGAGGCACAAGGAAAAAAAGAGCTGAACCTCCAAAGAGGAGAGGTCTAAATACACAGACGCAGCTTTGATTCCTCCAGAGAGTTGGGGGGGGGGGGGGGGGGGGGGGATATTTATTCAATAAAGCAATATTACACAAATAGCAACAAGGGTTACAACATGTCAAACATTAAAACTCAGCTGAAGCGCTGCCCCTGGGACCTGCCAGTCTGTTTGTTTAATTATATGAAAACTATTGTTTTTCTGGAATGAATGAGGCCTAAAGTGATACGGTTAAAAAAATGTGGAAGATTGTCAACAAAAACTTAAAATTTTATATTTTTCTTCTAAAAAAGTGATTTCATAATGATATTTTATTTTCTGAAGTCTTAATAGTCATTTAAAGGTGTCGCATACTGAGAAACATTTTTTAATGATTATTTCTGATTCTAATTGGTCACTGAGTTTTTCCACACAGGCTGAACATGAAAATAGTCTCCTACACCTATCTTCTGCATTAGCTTTTGGTAGAAAATAGATGGTGAAACTCTAGGATTAGACAAGCCTGGCAGATCTACGTCACACTGTCACTTATCATTCATGGACTCACCCATCTTGACTCACGAAGGGGAAGGCTGTTTGTGGTTTAGAGTCCAGGAAACAGCAGTGAACGTCTGGACTAGAAGAAGCTAACTGTTAGCATGAGCAACTCCACCACATGTCAGAACTCCTCTTGACTTGTGTTCTTTGTCGAGGTAAAACATGAGCATTGCAAAGAAAATGTAGTTCAGTGGTAAAGTCACGTTGCTGTTAGCCAATCAGAGGCGAGATATCCAAATGTCAGGAAATAAGACTAAAATCTGCGTCTGAAGCTCAGCTGTTATGTGGCTCACCTCTTGTTCCTGAAAATGGTGCACCGTGTTTTTTGCCCCCCGAGTAGAACTTACAAGGCATTAATTCCTACAAGGAATCACTGCAAATGTGTTGATTAAACAAGTGTTCTGTACATTTAATAAATAAATTGTTCCAGTTCTAAGATCAATTTATAAATTCAAATGATGTCACTGTGTATGAAGACAAACTGCTGTTAAGTTTATTTCTGCCCTTTTTTTAATGACAAATACTTTTGTTTCTAGAGACGTGAGAATTATATTTGTTCAAAAATCAAAAGACAATCAGGATTTCTACTTGTTCAACCTTAATGTTCTTCAGATATATATTCAATTAGTTGTGTCCAGTTTTATAGAAATTTCAAACTAAGTATTCCTTAGTGCCAAAAGCCAAAATGACAGTGCTTATCCCCCCCCCCTTTTTTTAAAGATAACTGAACAAAAACACGATAAAACTCAACCATACTTCAAAGATGACACTTTTCTCCTGACCCCTTCATTCTGACAACAAACAAACAAGCAAAAAATAAGTGACCACTTCATAAGACCACTGAATTTCTGCCCATCTCTGAGTATTCCAGTAAACCTCGGTGTTTCTCTTTTACTCTTCCTCAGACGTCACTTCCTGTTTGGTGGCTGAAATCTTGATGAGCCATCGATCAAAAAGGGCCCAACAGATCTGTAAGGTCCTCGTCAGGTCTTTGCAGGAATCTTTTTTTTTTTTCATAAGAAGGTGACTCAGATGTAGAAGGTTTTCTAATTATCCTTTTGCTGTGCACTTTTTTTAGCTCCCTTCAATTTTTGAACGTCACTTAGCACATCATGCAGATTTGGGCTAAGTTCTCTAAAAAAGCTCTTTGACAAATGCCTTTTGAAGGAAAAACTACTTTTCTTCACTGGTAAAACTGTGCCAATAAAAATGTTTTCTGTAGAGTCAGAGAAAAAAATCTGATCAATTGAACAGACCTCATTCTCAATGGTGGAAAGACACTGATTCATCTTTAAAGTTGGCTGGTGAATGTTTGATGATTAAAAATGGTCAAGGGAGCCAGCTGAGAAAGTTCAGGCTGGAGGTTGATATGCAGGAGACATGCGCTGCCAATTTTTATGGGCTGATTTTCATGACCTATCGAGATATTTTCCACCTTATTTTTATGCAAACTGCCATTATCAACATAGTTGTTGCACACAGTTTCTGAAGCTGAATAAATATTTGATCTCTGAATTTAACTAACTGCTAAATCTTAACTTTGTGCACTGCTCAGTGTTAAAGTCAGACAGCTAAATAAAGTTAATTTAGAGTATCTATTATGCAGATGTTATTAGTGAACATATACATATATTTACATTAAATTCTGCAACAGCACCTGGCTGCCCAAGGATGCAACTGACTTTAAATTGGCTTCACTAATATCAGCCGATGCATAAAAATACAGCAAATATCAGCCGACTTATATATCAGTCTACCCCTAATTCAGGCATTTAGTTAGGGTGTCTCCTGGATGACTCCCAGCCAAGAATGTTTTTTTTGGGGGGTATGTCGTGCTTGCAGGAGGTCCTTTGATCATCCCAGGACACACCTGAGAAGTTTCATATCCAGGCTAGCTTCGGAATGCCTTAGGGTCCCAGCAGAGGAGCGAGTGGAAGTAGTTAAAGAGAGGGCTTATGAGGGTGGATGGCTCTATGGACAGATGATAATGAAGTGCAGGTAATGTCAAAATAAAGCATCAGAAAACTTGGAAAACTGTTGCTAGTTTGACTATATATAAACCTTTTCTGTTTCTTTAGAACCAAAAATAAATACACCAATTCTGCCTCAAGCGTTTTGCAAAGTCCATCAAATAAAAAAAAAGACCAGCGTTCAAGCTGAAATTAAACAGGCTCCATTAAATTCACCAACTGTAAACAGGCTCACTTCTTTTGTGGCCATCTCCTGGTCTGAATCATGCAAAGCCCAGCGCTGTTTGTCACACGTTATCTAAAATCTTCCCTCACAACGGAGACTACAAACTAACCAATCTCACCCCACAAAGCACCACAGTGTCAGGCACACAATGAGCACACAGAAGTGGGTGAGGCAAACTAGTGATTATAGTGGACTTGTAACTCATAATGCCACTCGAGGTACAGGGCACTTTTAATCACAAAGGTTGCAAATTGGGATAATCTTTCAAGCTTGTGTCGTCACGAGCTGGCAAAAAATGAGAGAAAATCAGCTTTGCACAAACTTAAGGATGATTATGGAACAACAGAAATGCAATGCATCACTCAACCCATTTCCATCACACCATGTGGTTAACCTGTCCATACAGATGTATGGGCTAACTTGCAGGCAGATGCATGCAAATATTTATGCACAAAATGTGGTACATGTAAAATGTATCATATCAGTGCAACATTATGAAAGATGACAATGAATGGAGTTCATTGTGTCCTTGGTCTTGTGGGGAAGTGCAGAGCCTAATCCGAAGGCTTTAGAAGAATTAGTGTGTCGAATTTTGAAAGAGGTGCATTTATAAGGAAGGGTTGATAAACAGGAAACTGTTCACTCCTCCACAGGAAGTGTCTGAAGGTAACACACTCCTCTGTGGCTCTTTTTCAAAGTGTGAGCAGTTATGATATGAGGCCTGAAGAGGTTTCGAAACTGTGGAGTGGAAAAAAAACAACTTGTTTTGGAACAAATGAATTTGCTGCTGGCCCTTATGGCTTATGAGCCCTCAACAAAAAGCTCACACAACTCTTATTCAGAAAACGGTTTGGGGATTAAACTTACAGGTTGGCTGTTCCACAATTACTCAATCTAACAATTAGGGGAATTGAGTCAACTTTACACAAATACTGAAAGTTGTTATGAATAAAAACTGAATAAATACCAAAAGCATGTATTGCATTATTGAAACGCAGCCTGCTTTAAAGCATGTATTTTAAATGGAGCCCAGAAACGTTTGATGTAATGTGTAAGATGTTTTAAAATAAACAACAGTATTTATAATATTTGATTTGCAATTTCACGACAAAACCGGGGATGAGCATCACTGAGGTCAATTTTTGCAAAATTGAGTTTTCAGAAAATAATTTTCCAATCTAAGCACCCGCATATTTCTATCCCATGGGATGCACAGAATTACTCACCTTGCAGCGACGTGCGTGTTGACAGCTCAGTTGTGTTTTTGGTGTGAACTATGGAGAAATTTGCGATAGCGTCCGAAGTTTGCTTCCCTTTTCTCCTTAATATTATCAATTTCATATAATTTGGTCATTTGTAGCGAAAGTACACAACTCCAATGTGTACTTTTTCAAATAAACAGTAACTCGTAGGAACTAGTTATTTTTCCGTCCCATGATGACAGACCCCTCCTGCTCTTTAAGCGGATAAAAAAATAGCTTGCCCTGTGTGGGCTTTGATGGCACATGATTGGCTACGGTGCTGAGTTATAAACCAATCAGAAGACTGGAGATGCAAAACTGCGGTGGGCGCGTTTAAATCTACAGCGTCGTCCGGTAATTTACGCACACGAAGGATTGCTCGAGCCGCCCACTAAAATTAGTAATATTTAATAAAACAAACAACCCTTTAAAAATTTACGACACATAACTGGAAAGAGTTTGTGGACAATGTAGTCCAAGAACAATAAAGGTGCCGTTTGTTATAACAAACAGAAACAGCCGTAAAAACTACATTTCCACCATTTTTAACAGCTCGAACGTTGTTTATTGCATCAGCGTGGACACCACTAGCCGGTAAAGTTACCACCAGTCAAAGCCACTTGTCATTTTCATCCGAAAGAGAAAAAGCACAAAGAATAAAGCCCGCGTCCAGTTTTGTAACAGAGAAGCTGCCACCGGTCCGATGAAGCTGTTTGTTAGCGAAGGCAACCCGCACTGCCTGAAGGTGTTAGCTGCTCTGGAAGTGACAGGAGTTCACTGCGGCGTTCAGTACATCAGCCACGAAGGTAGGAAAGCTAGTTAGCATATTTCTGTGAATTTAACTGTACGTTTAATTACGTGTATCGTTTAGGAAACACAATGCTGGCTAGACATTGTTCGTAATTTCATCAGAACGTGTATTTTGAATGCCCTTTCTAACACAGTAGCGGTGAACTAGCTGGATAAGTAGCTTTCATTGGTTGTCTATCAGTGTCATTCTTGTAAATATGAGAAACGACTGGAAACGACTCCTTACTGTACAAAACTGCTGTGTTCGCTTTGTTTGTATCGTTTCATTTAAGCTTTGTTTAGCTTTCATGACTTTGCCTTTTGGGTAGGCTAGACTGAAATAGATTAAATTAAAAGTAGAAAAAACTGTGGTGGTTTTTAAACGAGAATTGTCCACATTTTAATGATCAGTGGTTTGTTTTAAAACGCTGGAAGGTCCAGTCATTTTAATTAGTAGAAATATTCAAAAATGTCATCCTGTATAATTCAAAGATAACCCCTAAAATAGCTGAAAACAGTGAAGACTCTTGTTACAACCATCGACATAAACATGGTTACAGCACACACTTTTTTCATCTTAAGAACACGTTTTTAAACTAGTTGTCATTAAACAACGCTTGCTCTTGGTGAAAATGTTAATCCAAAATAAGTTAAGTGGACTTGAACCTATCAGCAGCTTTAAGTAAACAAATGATCTGACTTTCCATATGGTCATTTTTTGTCACCATGCAGGTCACGCTGGATCCAAACAAACTTGATGACCAACACCCTGGGTCAAATATTCTTGGTTGCTTAAAAAGGGAATTAAATATGTTGATATTTATCCTTATTGGTGTAAATTTAGTTAAAGGAACACCACCATCAAAGCAATACTTAAGTGACTATTACTGGAAAAACAAGCATAAGGATAACTCACTTGGCCCTGATATATCTGGATCAGACAAATAAAGAACAAACACAGTGTGATATATGACCAGTCACCACAGAGCACTGATAAATAAACTGAATTAAAATGGCTCGGTCATAAGATTTTGTAGATCAGATCTTAAGACACATATTGCTACATGATTATGTAGCAATAACGTATGTATGAATGTGGAATAATGACTCTAGCTCGAATTGAACCATGTTTATTTTTAATAACCAAAGATAATTGTCATTTGTATGACTCAGAGGCTTTGTCTTTATTGTGGAGAAAGTTTGTTGTGATGTCCTGTAAAACAACCTCAGATCATCACTGCCTTGCTTGATATGTGTTTGTGCTTTTCTTCCATGTTTTCTATGTTTCACTTCAGTTAGTTTAAGGTGTTAAAAAGACAAATCGCACAGCAAGGAAATGTTTTGCTTTTAATTTTACTAAACAGACAATGGGGGTGCCAAAGGCAAGCCAAAACTGCATAGTTCCACTTTAACTATGTATCCATACATACTTTCCTAGAGAAAAACACATAACCTAGCATTACTAATAACAAAATACAGTTTAACTAGTTTTACAATATCAACCACAAAGTGAAATAAGTATTTTTTTCTCACTTTTCCAGAGAAAGTGGTCCCTTTTCTCAGCCGTCCATCGTTGCCAGCTCTTCTCCTGCCCAGTGGACAACACCTTTTTAGCTCTAATGCTATATGCAGGTCAGTGTTATGGGTTGTTAGTTGGTTTAGTTCTGCTGCTTCAGCATAATTTGTTGACTCGTGGGACTGTTTATGTCTTCTTCTGTGAAACATCTCTAAGATGTAAAAATTCTATTCAAAAGCAAATGAATAAAATAATTTCTACCCTGATTTGTCAGAGCATAAATCCAGAATCTGTCTGGGCTGTGATTGTACGCGACTGGCTGGGGATTCAAAATTGTCAGAAAATATGCAGATTTTAAACTACAGTTGCACTGAGTTGCTACGTACGACCTTTTAGTAACATGTTCGATAAGTGACTGGGTCATGAAGGAGATGATACGTCATTTCAGGCAAATTTTTGGGTGCATTTTTGTCACATTGTCTCAACTAGGTCGTTGTCTTTCTGTAATGCACGCTCCTTTTAAAACTCTCTTCCATTTCTCCCAGTTCTGATTCATGGAAAATATTTACATTTATATGTTATAGCTGCATGACCCAAATGTGTCCTTCTCTTTTAGATACTTCTTTGAAGTGAATGGACAAGAGTCCAACGACGTCAGCAACCAGTGGCTGGAATGGGAGACCATAGTTCTTCAGGTGAACTCTAACTAAACAACCTGACTTAACAGGCTGTCTGTAGACAACAATAGATGTGTTTTTGAAATGTATTTCAACAGATGCATCGTACAAAATCCTCTTATCAGGTCTCGCGATGCTAGCAAGGCAGACACCGTAAATGCATGCAGCTAAATGATTAAAACTGATTAATGCATAAAAAAATAGAAACGGTGTGAATCTGACTGATGAACTAAAATAATGTTGTTCCTTTTTACTTCTGTCACATATATTTGGTTTATAGTTGCACCTAACACTATTTAAATTACTTTTCAATTGCACAGCCTGTTCTGCATCAGGCTCTTCACATGGCCGTGGTACAGGGAAAAGGATCGGAGGTGTCTAGGGTCCTTCAGAGTCCCCTAAACTTCCTGGATCAAAGCCTGAGCAAAGGGAGCATGCCACATTTAACTGGGGTACAGTATTAAACCATATCGTGTTGGTGCTGCAGCATTTATCCTGAATGATTAAAGCTAAGTCAGCTGTGATGTGTTTCAGGAGTCTGTCTCAGTTGCTGATGTCATCCTGTGGGCGGCTCTATACCCCGTTTTATCTGACTCTTCTTTAGCACTGGGTAAGCGCTAATGATTACTTCTGTGTGATGTTTTATGGATTAGCTTCACTTTCTCATACTTTTAAATTACAATTTTTTACAACCCTTCACCTCTCCCTCTTTGTCCCCCCCCCCCCCCCCCCCCCCCCCCACACACACACTTTTTCAGGTGAACATAAGTTTGTCAGGGCTTGGTTTGACCATTTGGCTGCTATGCACAGTTGTCAGTCTGCTGCTCAGAAAGTGCTGCAGGGAAAGGCCATGAAGAACTACATGCAGAAGCAGTCTGTGCCCCAGAGCTTCCAGTGCAGAGACACACAGCCAAGCAACAGCAGCCCTGCTGAGGTATCTTCCAGATCATCACTGAAACTGTTGGACTTCATGCTTTCTTACAGAACAGTAAATGATCAAAACCCAAACAAGGCTTACATTCATCTCAGGCGCATTCTCCAAGGCTAAATGAAAGCAAAAATCCTAATTTGTGACTTAATTTGGATGTAGAACATGCAGACAGCACATCACTTATTCCTTTAAATATAGTTTTTAATAAGAATGTTTGATGGATCTGAGATGAAATGCATTACTATGATTTGACAATTACTGAATTCATAAACTCGTGGTTCCAATTTTTTTAAACCAATGTCTGTTAGAGTGAGGAAGGTGAGCGTGCCGTCTCAGAGGAGGAAATGGAAGCAGCTACTCTCACCTGGAGAAAAGGTCTGACCTCCTGCTCTTTGGCCACAGAAAGACAACACCCTCTGTGAGTATTTTATACCTTTATTAACTACTCTGTTTGACATTCTCTATGCATTATTGTACACAACACGTTGGCATTGTTTCGTCAACACCTGGCTACATACAGTATAAAGGACAGATTTACAGAAATCTGAAGTTTATATATTCTACAGAAAATGAAGCAATGTCAAATTTAACTCTTTTGTCCATCAGTTTGCCAGAAGAGGGCAAAAGAAACATCCTTTTGACGAGCGCTTTGCCTTATGTCAACAATGTCCCACACCTGGGTAATATCATTGGCTGTGTTCTCAGTGCTGATGTCTTCTCCAGGTATGAAATCTGTCTTGTAATTGTTTTATTTTTATTTTTTTCTGTAAATGGTGCTGGAAAAACAATAAATAAAATCAATTATTTAATGAAAATACACACACCCATAATATAACACGCAGTATCTTAAAGCTCACTGAGAAACATGTAATATTTATTTTTGAAATACGATTGGTCACTCTACGTGTCACATACATGCTGAAGGTCTTCTACCCTTTTTTCCTGCATTAGTCGTAAAAACAAAATTAACAAGGAAACTATCGGGTTAGAAAAGACACACAGATCTACGTCTCACTGTAAATTAGCTTTCATGGACTCACCCATCTTGGCTCACGCCTGCAGAAGCTGAGTGTTTCTCAGCTAGTAGAAGCTAACCGTTAGCATTAGCAACTCCACAACATGGCATAACTCCTTTAGGCTTGTGGTATTTGTGGAGGTAAAGCATCAGCGTTGCGTTTATTTGCCCATAAAAAAGAGCAAAGAGAAGGCAGCAGAAGTGGTTTGTTGCTGTTAGCCAATCATACACAAGATGTTCGCTAAATATTAAAGGTGTAGTTCACTGAATTTTTTTTAATTATTTCTGATTATAATTGGTCACTCTTGAGTTTTTCATGCAGGCTGAACATGTAAATAGTCTCCTACACCTATCTCCTACTTTAGCTTCTGATAGAAAATAGACGATGAAACTCTAGGATTAGAAAATCCTGACAGATCTACGTCACACTGTCACTTAACATTCATGGACTCGCCCATCTTGACACACGACAGGAAGGCTGTCGTTGGTTTAGGGTCCAGGAAACAGCAGAGAACATCTCGGCTAGTAAAGTCAAACTGTTGGCATTAGCAACTCCACCGCACAGCAGAACTCCTCCAGGCTTGTGTCAATTGTAGAGATAAAACATCAATGTTTCAAAGTAAACGGAGTCAGTGGTAGAGTCATGTTGCTGTTAGCCAATCAGAGGTGAGATGTCCCAATATCAGGAAAAAAAGACTCCAAATCCTGTCGCCTGAAGCCACTTTCTGTTGACTTGTACTTCCTGAAACAAGTGAATCTGACCCCCCTCCCAACTAGACACCACTGCAAATGTATTGATTAAACACACACACACACCACCTGAAACCAAAGCAGCTTTTCTCAATCCTCATTCATGTTTCTGCCACAAAAACAACCTCACCTCTTGTAGGTATGGCCGCCTGCGAGGCTGGAACCTGCTGTTTGTGTGTGGCACAGACGAATACGGCACGGCCACAGAGAACAAAGCCAGAGAGGAGGGCCTGACACCTCAACAGATCTGCGACAAGTACCACGCTGTTCACTCTAGCATCTACAAATGGTTCCAGATCGACTTTGACTTTTTCGGCAGAACCACCACAGAGAAACAGACCGAGTGAGTGAGCGGATTTCTTAAAGGCCGTCAATGATGAAAAATGTAATTGTTGTTGTTTTAGGAATTCTAGTCAAGCCTTTTCTTCCATCAACAACTCTTTAAAAAGAGAACTCTAATACAAACGTTCTTTTAGAGGTCTGGTGCTTACATGAGTTGGTTTTGGTCTGAAAGGATCAACATATTTCCATGTGATTCTTACTCACTTATTACAAAATTACATAACATAAAGCAGGATTAGTGTAATCTTGCTTCTCAACCAGGGAAATACACTTGTATTAATCTCAGTGTTAATGTTGGATGTAGGTTACTCACCACTGCTCAGTTTAAAGGGACACTTTCAAACTATTTCATTTTCTTAAGCCAGTATGTGCTAAAATGACCCTTTACGAGGTTAATGATAGACCACCCAGTCCTGTCGCCTCCACTTGCAACTTCAGCCTGGCGGGCTGCTCTATTGGGTCTTGCCTGGAGCTGCAGTATTGTTCCAGTGTGTTTCCTGCATGTTTTACATCATGAACACAACTGATGTGTTTAATTTAATGATGAATCACTCCTGTAGACACTAAGGAAGACTGGGGAGACGTTTCAGCTGTGAGATTAAGGTGTTAAAACGACAAACGCACAGCAAGGAGATGGGTTTTTCTTTCAATTCTACTAACGGACTCTAGGAAATGCTAAAAGCAAGCCAAAACTGCCTAAAGATTAAAGTCCCATAGTTGTTACGCACACTGGTGTGGTGTTGTGAAAATTGTCCTCCGCATTTGACCCATCCTCGAGGGGGCGGTGAGCTGCAGACACGGCCATGCTGGGGAACTATTTGGTGGTTTAGTTCCCCTTTAAAGCATTTATTGATTTATTTTAATAAGTAATTAAGTAGCAACATGTTAGGAAATAAAGTACTCAAAAAGTAGCATCAATTTTTAAACGGTAAGACGTTTGAGAGTTTCTAATTAAATATAGAAAAATGTAAGAACTAGTCTATTTGCAAAATGACATAATAATTCAGATATGTAACTAATTTAACAGTTTTGCAATTGTACTAATTATTTTTTCTTATTAAGTTGTTTGAGTATTTAGGTAACAGAAATATGGCACTCAAATGGGAAGTTGTTCTTTGGTAAAGATTAGCTCTAAATCCTCCTGCTTGTGTGTTGAAAATGATTTCAGGGATTCAGACTCTTGTTTTGGGGCCTTTGCTTTGATATAGGGCAACTTAAAAAGCATCAAACAGCAAACTGCAACACCAGGTTCTTTGAGAAATAAAAGCAGCCGTTAGATGAAAGACTTTAAACCTGATTCAGGAGAAGAGTGTCGTGGTTTAGGTCTTAGATTTTAGATTTAATAGCGAACAACTTTTTTTTAAAATACTTTTTGTGTTTTTGCCACAATCAATAGTTGGAGCTGTTCTCCCCGAGTACACTGCTGTGTATTCTTTTGAATTCACCTGGAGCATTTGCCTAATTTTCTTATCAACAACAGGAAGTAATGGTAGTGACACAATACTGAGCTGAAAGACTAAACTGTGGTTATTATAATGACTGAGTAATCCACAAATCAGTCAGCTGTTATTGTACTGGCACAGTTTTTAACATGGAGCCAGACTCTTTCAAATGTCCTTTGTACTCTCACACCCACCTCTTTTTGTCCATTTTCAGAATAGCTCAGGACATCTTCTGGCGACTCCATAAAAATGGGTTCCTGGTAGAAGACACAGTAGAGCAACTACGCTGTGAGAACTGTCAGCGTTTCCTGGCAGATCGCTTCGTGGAGGGCACGTGTCCCCACTGCAGCTATCCCGAAGCTCGTGGAGATCAATGTGACAAGTGTGGGCGCCTCATTAATGCTGTGGAGCTCAGGGTGAGTGAGGTGGAGCGCATTGTTCTTTTTGGAGACTTTAGAGTCAAAATCAGGTCTCTGAGTCCTTTAAACTAAACAGGGTGGTTTATCTTTTTTATCGTTTATGTTATTGGTATAGTACGTCAACCCCGTCCTCCTCGTCATCTGCTTATCCGGGTTTCTACTCCAAGTCCCTCCTGCTTGTTTGAGCTCCTCGTCCTATCTCTACGGTTGAATCTGGCCACCCTGCAGAGGAAACGGATTTCAGGGGCTTGTACTGGCGATCTCATTCTTTATCGTTACCCAGTCGATCATAGGTGGAGGTTGGAATGCTGATCACCCAGTAAAGTGAGAGCTTTGCTTTCTTGCTTAGCTCCCTCTTCACCACAACAGACCAGTTTGTTGTCCGCACCACAGCAGACGCTGGTCCGATCCACCAGTCGGTCTCTTGATCTTCTTTCCTCTTGAAGACCCTGACACACTTTAACACCTGCACTGGTGGTAGGACCTCTCCTCTGACCCAGAGTTGAATCAACCTTTTTTTTTCTGTTGTCATATTTGGGGGTCATGAACCTCATCCCAGCCGACCAGGTTAACACGGCCTTGGTCCCTTGAGCCATTTCCTGGCCTGGCTGCATGTTGGGACTCTGGAAACCACCCAGGCCAGGTACTATCTCTCATTGTCCATCGCAGTTCTTCTGAACTGCTCTTCTTTGCCCTTTGCCTCGAACCAAATAACCATAGGAGATGCTACCAGGAGCAAGGTGCACCAGACAATATAGCTCCTATGATTATAAGGGTACTAAACTCTGCCCCGGTATGGTGGCAGTTCAAATAGAAGATGTCAACAGTATTATAGTTGTTCCATTATCTAAATGATGATTATGTTTGCTGCTGTTGCCTGCAGGAACCTCAGTGTAAGGTCTGCAGGCAGACTCCAATAATCCGCTCCTCCAAACATCTTTTCCTGGACCTGCCAAAGGTAAGCGTGCCTTCTTTGTCTGCTCTGCAACTATTGGGCGCTCGTTTGACGACTAAGTAATTCCTTTATAAGTTTAAGTTTGCATTCACAGAGAGCTGCTTGAAGGCAGAATTCTCTTTGGCAGTGTTGTTTTATAGATGGCCTTACTCTTTCTAAAGATGTGCTTCAGTGAATAGTTGTTTTTGCAAGTAAATTATTCAGTTTTTTTTCCCTTTCTCTTGTGCAGCTAGAAAGACAGTTGGAGCAGTGGTTGGAGAAATCAACCAGCACAGGAGACTGGACAGCAAACGCCAAACAGATCACTCGGTCCTGGATAAGAGATGGACTCAAACCGCGCTGCATCACCAGGGACCTGCAGTGGGGCACGCCGGTACCTCACCCTGACTTTAAGGAGAAGGTCTGAACTGGTTTCTTATGCACATGCACTACAGACTCTGCATCTGTTGCATTTTCTTGGTTTCTTTTCTGCATAGCACAATGAACAGATTTTTGTTGTTGCTTCTTAAACTCGAGGCTTTTTAATAAGACACATCATGTCAACAAATCAGCATAAAACTGCCGCCACGATGTGTCTTATGAAAGCGCCATGGCAGTGCAGGAATTTTGAGCCATTTGTTCCACCCTAACTTGATAGTAATAGTGCCACAATGCCTGACTTGTGAATGCATATTACGCCTTGGCACAACAGCATGGTGGTGTCATGATCACGTGGGGAGTTACTGCCGAGCTTCGGCCGGCTAAATGATTGAAAATGAAAGTAAACACGGGCATAAGTTTTGCTTTTGTTGACAGAACCATCGGAGATGATAAACTGGAGCGATGCAGAGCTCCAAGAGCTTCTCTTTGTTCAATCTGAAGTTCAGATCATCTGACAGCTCCCTGGGACTGTAGAGGACAGACGCCTTTAGGAGCGGCTTGTGAGAAAACATAGAGCGCAGCTTCAATTGCAATAAAACGCAAGTTCAAGTTAAAGGGAAGTCTGATGTGCAGAGACCTGCCCCATACCTCCGGTTTACCGCCATCATGTAATCTTTTATGAAAAGGACACGATTGCTCCACATTACCGCCACAGTCTGACCACTTAAAACGACCTAAGGCTCCCAGGTGCCAGCTTAGCTTTGCTGCTAATTGGTGGCATTAGAGGACTCAAGACTTCAGCACACAGCTCAGAAACAGTTTCCCTAAAGTCTAACTTGATATTTAGGTCGTTTCATGCCTGTAGGATTCACCGAATGTTTCCTTTGTAATGTAACATACGGTTCATTTCTGTAATAAAACACATCAGTTTGGCCTTTTTCCCCCTGCAGGTCTTCTATGTGTGGTTTGATGCCCCCATTGGTTATCTGTCCATTACTGCCAGCTACACCAATGAATGGGACAAGTGGTGGAAGAATCCTCAGCAGGTACCAGACTCCACACACAAAACGTCAGGTCTTTAACCTCCTTTTTCATAAATAACACATCTGATTAGGTTTTGAAATGTTACACAGATGTCAGCTTATTTTTAAAGATCGTTTTTATTTGTGAAGCTATTTCCAGCTTTACTTAAATAGAGGACTGGTTTGACATTTGTCATTCAGACTTGAGCTTGGTATTTTAAGTACACCGCTCACCCACAGCAAACAGGAAGCAGCTGCTAATTGTCAAGCATGATTGTGTACACATAACAAGTCAACTGACCTGAAACCTGATGGCTCAGAAGTCTGATTTGCTCTTTCATAATCCTCACTGACTCGTCTCATCCCCCTCCGTGTAAAACCCCAGGATTGAGCCCCTCTTATGAGTGTGTGATGCCGCGTGTTTGCAGGGAGAAAAAGTGTGTGTGTGTGTGGGGGGGGGGGGGGGGGGATAAAGCCTCTTTGAACTGGATGATCTCATGATGATCTAATATGATGTCATCTGACGGTGCTATGTTGTGTTTCTGCCACCAGGTGGAGCTGTACAACTTTATGGCCAAAGACAACGTGCCATTTCACAGCGTGGTGTTCCCCTGCTCCCTACTGGGAGCCCAGGACAACTACACTCTGGTCAATCACCTGGTTGCCACCGGTTAGCACTTGTTATGAACACAAGGGTGATCCCTCATTTAGCTGGGTCTGGGGGTTCATTTTAGATGCTTGATTGGGTTTAAAATAAGAGAAAGATGAATGATTTGTATCTTGAGTTGATGAAAGTGTATTCTTGGTGAGCGTTTTGGCCTGATCTGTAAATTTTCCATTCAGAATATCTGAATTACGAGGACACAAAGTTCTCCAAGAGCCGTGGCGTGGGTGTGTTTGGTGACATGGCGAAAGACACGGGCATCCCGTCAGACGTGTGGCGGTTCTACCTGCTGTATGTCCGTCCAGAGGGACAAGATTCAGCTTTCTCCTGGGCTGACATGGCTCTAAAGAACAACTCGGAGCTGCTCAATAATCTGGGAAACTTCATCAACAGGTCAGTGCTAGTCTTCGTTTATTAAGTCAGAATACGAGTTTCCTCAGTAAAACTAGAATAACTGAACCGATCCCTCATTTTGACTGCGTAACCCAACTTATTTTTGTTCCTTGATTTATGACTCGGTGGGTTTTATTCTACTCGTTCTACACAATCATCAGAGGAATGAAGTGTTGCACAATCCACCTGGTGTTGCTCACACTTTCTTCCTGTTTTCACTCCCAACGTAAGGCAACACTGTCATCAAGTCTAATTAACAACTTAGTTCTCAAATTGTCGTACTCCTTGGAAAAAGTCAGTTGCAGCACTAGCTATTACAAGACGCTCACCCCAGATTTCTAAATTTGTTTGGGATGGTGTAATTTAGCCCCAATTACATTGCCTCAAATGATTTTTAAAAGATCAGGATTAAATCCCACTTCAAAGATGTTTCTGAGCAGCTTTTTTCCCTCCACAGTACCTTGATCTTCAAAAATTGGTCTCGGGCAGCGACGCTGATGCCTAATTGGTTCAAAAATATCTTGTAAATTGCATTCTGCCTTAGGTGGAAACAATTCTGCTTCAGAAAAGAAATCCTGACCTCCCCTGGATCCAGTTTCTGATTCAGAACTTTATCTGTGACAACAATTTCATATTTTATGGTTGATTTTAGAGCAACTGTTTCCTCTTATGGCTATGTAGTGAAAATCTTCAGGTGACAGTTTGGCAACATATACTGTGGGATGTGACTCCATACACACGTGTTAGTTTGCATCATACTATTGTTAATAATATATGAACAAAATGTATAATTTTTTTTTTGTTTTGAACTTGTTCAAACAAACTATGTTTTCCCTTCCAGAGCCGGAATGTTTGTTACCAAGTTCTTTGAGGGATGTGTGCCAGAGATGGATCTGCAGCGAGAGGAGAAGAAGCTCCTGGCTGTGGTGGGCTGGGAGCTGCAGCAGTACATCCAGCTTATGGACAAAGTCCGGTAAGAGCCAGCGACACCCGCAGAGATGGAAACGTAGCTTGGTTTAGTTTTCACACAGCTTTTCTGTTAATTTATCACTTCTAATTTTATTATTTTAGAATTCGTGATGCTCTGAAACACATCCTGAACATTTCTCGTCATGGCAACCAGTACATTCAGGTGAATGAACCCTGGAAGAAGATTAAAGGAGGAGAGTCGGACAGGTGAGACACGCTCAAACAGTTTCCACTATCTGTAGGTGAATGTGGGTAGATCTGTAGCACTTCGCTAGAAGTCCTCGTTTCTTCACCATCATTTATCTTTAAGAAGACAAACACTTTACATTCACGACGTCTGACAGCCGATGTGACTTATTTGTTGTTTCCAGGCGGCGTGCTGGCACTGTGACGGGTGTTTCTGTAAACATCGCCTGCTTGCTGTCGGTGATGCTCTTTCCTTACATGCCTTTGGTCAGCCAGACCATCAGAGATCAACTCAACGCTCCTCAGTCTTGTATCGGCACCATGTTGCAAGGCACCGGCACCTTTGTGTGTGCTCTGAGTGCCGGTCATCGCATCGGCACTGTGAGTACGACCTCCACATCTAACATGCATAAGTCGTACCTGTACAGACACACAAACTACCGGTATTTGGAAGCTGGGTGATACAACGAGAATGCAACAGTGTTTCAGTACGGTGGAAGGTTCTCTGAAGACACACACACACACACACGAATGACGAGATAGGCAGTGTGAGGAGGTCTCAGCCTTCCAGCCAACAGCGAGTTTCTCTCAGGCCACTTGTCCCTTCAGGTCTAATTGTGGTGACTTGTCTGCACTGCATTCAAACAGCTGGACTGGCATCTGCAGGCTGTAGACAAGAAGCAGGACACGCCATCAGTAAAAGTCTTACAAAGCTCATGCACCAGAGAGCTGTAGTTCTTCATGTTTTTTATGATAGTGACCAAAACTTTCACATTTGTCATCATTATTTTCATAATCTTTAGCATTTGAGCAAAATTTTAACCTTTAGTCGTTGATTTTACCCGGGTATATCAGAGATGTTTAGATTAGTTTCAGTCATTCTTACATATATCTAAAATTTTTCACTTTAATTTCCTTTTTATTTCCAGGTCAGTCCATTATTCCAGAAACTGGAGACGGACCAGATTGAAGCTTTGAAGAAGAGATTTGGTGGACAGCAGGTATTTGATGTTCATGATCCCTAATGGTGTGCACATGACTTCAGTCAGGTCATGTAAGGATGTAAATCCACCGTTTATGAAGAGTAAAATAAAGATTATAATACATCACTGGTCACAGGGCTCAGACTGTCATCATGCATTAAAATTAGCTTCAGACTCAAGTGTCAGTTCTTTTACATGATACTGAGCAAAAGGCAGATGTGTAAATAATGCATGAAGCATCCGTCAGATAAATAAAAATAATCCCTCTCTAAACCTCCTTGCCTCCAGCCTGAAGACGAAGCGTCTAATGAGAAGGTATTGAGTGACGTTTGTTTGAAGAGTAGGTCCACGCTCATACTGCTGTCAGTGTTGATTACCCAACGCCCTCACTAACACTCGCAGCCTGTTTTACATCTATATATGTTGGATTTTCACTCATCCCAGCGTGACTCGTTCATTCACATGTACTGATTCATAAATTCTAGTTGATGTTTTGAATTTTGAGTGTAATTGTCTAAAACAAAGCAAGTCGAGTTAACCGTCCAAAGGCTTGATGAGGTTTTTCATTCCTGTACTCCTTCAGAAACCAGCTCAGAGCTCCGTCAGCGCTCCTGCTGCTCCTGGTGCTGAGGTGAAGGTGGTGGGTGGAGTGGACCCGGAGAAAGCCGAGCAGCTGACTAAAGCTGTGGCTGAGCAGGTTTGAGCGCTCGCTGGCACCGACACACCACTGATCCTTTAAATTGAAATATAGCTGCACAATGAAATTAGTTTTTTATCATAAAATCTTATAGAAAAATAAAATAACGTTTTTATATAACCGACCATGCACAGTCAACTATGATTACATTTAAACTCTACGACAGAACTTCAGTTTGGAAAACCGTTTTGTGTTGGTTTACATTTAATGGATAGAAAAATATTTAATTAAAACGTTTGTTTTTTTATGACTAATTTTTCACAAATGTAGCCGGAAATTCTTATTTAAACACCCACATATTTCCAGCTTAGCGAATGATTTGGTATTTCATAATGGATTACACACCTAGTCTTTTAATTCAACACCAATGTCTCCCCCCACAGGGAGAAAAGGTTCGAGCTCTTAAAGCCCAGAAGGCAGAGAAGGACGTGATCGCAGCCGAGGTGTCCAAACTTCTGGAGCTTAAGAAACACCTGGCTCTTGCTGAGGGGAAGAACGCTGCACCTGCACCTCAGACGGGCAAGAAGAAGAAGTGAGGCAGGAACAGAGAGGGAAAGCAAAAGTTCAGGTTAGTCAGGGGAAGGACGGTTTGAGGTTTGACGACAGAGAACGGGAACAAGATGTACACGAGGAGATGAGGGTATTAGCTCAAGGCAAAGCCGTGACAGGATCCAAGACAATGCGGTGTTGGCACCAAGGACTAATGAAATGCTGGATTGGCCGACGGGGAAATGAAAACACACAAAGAGACAGTCAAATGAATGCAGCTACAGAATGGAGGGATTTTTCCAAATCCCCACACCAAAAGAAACTGATTTTATACTCTCCCTGTGATAAAGTCAGCATACGATATTAGCGTTGGAAGATGTGTTCCACATCTAAAGGTGGTTTTTGTAGCCGCCGTTTTGCTTTAATACCCTTTTTGGATCTATATACCGTCTTCCACCTCGCTTACTTTGAATCCTGCTTTTTCCAATAAAATATACAGACAACTTATGCTTTGATACAGCGTTTTATTGCAAAGTTTTAATAGCGATGAATACAATGAAAATGGTAAAATACATGATTTGGATGCCATCAATAAAAGCCATGCATTATATTTGACAAAAAAACTACAATGATAAAATAACAGTATGCAAGGATCTTACAGTACAAACCTTTACAGTACAACTGTATATACACAATACAAAAATAGTAAATCGGGGTAGAAATAATTCTGCCACAGATTCCAGAAAATAGAAAAGGTCAGCTTCAAAAGTTTAGCCGGATTACTTTTTCTAATTACAAACACACAAGCCAAGGGTTATAGAAAACTTAAAGGCAGGATTTGTTTTTAAAAGTAAAAAAAAAAATAAAATCGCTCGTACTCAACACTGGACTGGGCACTTTCAAACATGTCCTGAGCTCCACAACTCTCCAGAAATTGGGGCAAATAATCTCTGCTAGCCAGATTGTAGCCCTTAAGGAAGGAGTTACAATTTATTGCAAAATGGTGGAAATACAGTGAGTTTTCTAACTACAGCTCCTTTGTGACACACACACACACGTGACATACACACACGTTTGTGTTCTCCAGCTCGTTTGAATCCATTTTTCATTCCACAAAATGACATTCATTAAATCTGCTGCACCATTTGCATTTCAAGCTTTCTTCTCTTCTTCACACATGCTGTCCTTTTATCTGCCGCACTGCTGTAGCAGCCCTTCTGTCTCTGAACCTTTTCTTGTCTTGACTTTCATCGCTTCCTTTGTGCCTTCTCTTCTCTTCCTAAAACCCTCCCATATATAAAAAAAAAAAATATCTTTGGTTTCCATTTTTTATGATGCATTTCATGACCACTGCATTTGACTTTCCCACCACTGCATATTCCAATTCTGTAGGACCCGTTTTCTTTTAATTCCCATCCCGTCCTAATCATTTCCTGGTGTTAACCAGCCTCTCAATCAGAGCTCTCCGTGTCCTCTGAACCTCTTCTCCCAGCCTTTCAATCTCTGCTTTCAGGCGCTCATTCTGCTCGGTCAACTCTTGGACTTTCCTTTCGTTCTCCTGTTCTCGTTCTTTGCGACTCTTTTTGGTAGAGGAGTATTGTGTGCGCTGTGTGGAGGTGGAGAATGAGGACAAGGCACTGTTAGCCCTCTCGCTGGTGCTCCTCTTACGCTTTCCCAAAAAGGAAGAGGAATAAACAGAGGGAGAGGAGACGGGTGAGGAGGGAGGAGAACAATTTTGAGATGGAGACTGGGAAGCTGAAGAGGAGCCGGAGGGTGAATCTGGGACACAGGGCAGTTCCTCCTCACTGGCTGAAGGAGAAGCAGGATGGACGTTGTTGGAGTGATGGTGCTGATGATAATAATAGCTACCGCTGATTACTGCTCCGCTTTGATCCACCATTCCTACCCCTCCTTCACTCAGCAACTCAAAGAATTCAGGAGGCAGCAAGTCGCTGCCACCTCCTGTCGAACTACCCCCACTTCTCTCAGCCTCCACCTGCCTCTCCTCTGCAACAGCTGGACTCATGCAGGAGGAGGATGATGAAGAGGACGATGATGAGGAGGAAGAGTGATACTGGGCGGTGTGGAGTGCCTCTGTTGTCCTCTGGACACCTTCAGTCCATGTCTGGTTTCCATCAGTCAGCCACGTCAGAGAACAACTCTCCAGAACATCCAGAAACTCGGGCTCCTTCTAAAAGCACAAAGACGAAGTGTCAATTATTACCCTCAACTGTTGCTAGTTAGTTTTAACCTCCAAGTAAAATAAAATAATCACAGGGTTTGGATCAATTTAGATTCCAACTACTGACCTCGGTGCATGTGGGGGCACGTGCCAGTTTTGCCCCTCCCGAATCAGAGCCCAGAATATCCTGCAGGTCCTCATACCACGCCTCCAACTCTGCACCATATAACGGCCCTACTCCAGGGGGGTACGGCGGGGGCAGGTGTAGCCACTCGGCAGTCATCTCGCCAGTCAGTCGCAACACACAGACACTCGGCCACACAGTTTAAACTGCACCTGAGGGCGGGAGCAGTCATCAGAACCAGAGGGGGTTAGGAATCAAAACGGATGAAAAGAAAGAGCAAAGCAGCTGCACGATATATATAACAGACATGTCAAAAAGAGCTCCACCTCTTCCAATCTAATCACTGCCCTGCAACTGGTTTGATTAGAAAAGCTGAAAGTACAAATATATTATTTACAATTGTCATTTATATCAAGTTGATTTATTTTAGGGCAATTGTTGTGCAATTCTAATTGTTACATGGAAAAAGAGTGGCACTAAAGTATAACATAATACACAAATTATAAAGTCTCAACTAGACAAAAGCGTTTATGTACAAAACTAAATGAAATCACTAAAAATGATCCAAGTATATAAAAAAAATTACCTTCAGGAAGTCTCCGTTAATCAAGTCTGACAATTTGTTGGAGATAGAGTGTCCCAATAGTTCTGAAAGAAAAAAAACAGGTTAACAACAATTATAAAATAATGTTTTCATTGTTAAATGAGAAAAGGGAAATATGCTGATGTTTCAGAATGGAAACTGATGATTTGAGCAAACTGAGCAAGCTTGGACAGAAAGTGGAAGATGCTTGAAATTGTCTGTCTGAGAGAATAGAAGAAAAATGTTGTTTAGGGTATTTACAAAATATTTTAAGATAAATAACGGAAGAAATTAATTCCCGCAACATAATTATTGTAAACAAAGGGCAGACTGCTCTCCATTGCGCCCCCTGCTTTTTACGGCTCACAAAGACAGGTTTCAGCTCGATAAACAAGCGGTTAAAAGACGAGAAACATGAATCCGTGATGGTCTGCCTTTTTGTTTGTTTCCATCTCCCTTTACTCAGACTGGAAAACATCAGCAGCCTCAGCAACACAAAAAACTGGCATGAAAGTGGGAAAGTTTTAGTTTCTGATTTGATTTGGAAGTAAAACAAACATAATTGATAAACATTTGGGACGTTTTTATTTCTGATATAACGAAAAAAGTCCTTATTGTTATCAGATTTGTTAAACTTATCTGGAGTGTTAAGATTCAACACACATAAATAAATAAAAAATTCCAAAATATGATTTTTATTTTCTCCGAGTTTAGTTGAGAACTGTAAGCCAACACAATTACGTCATGGAAATGCGAGTCCAGCAGGAGGAATGGGCGAAACAAGGAAAAGGAGAGAGTGGACTGGGAAAAACTACAATGAATGGTCAGCTCAAACGCGTTACGAGTTACACAAAACAGCAGACAAAAAAAAAAGAACACCCAATACTTTTCTGGTTATTAATCATTATTACAGCCTGATGTTAACTGCGTATGATTTTTAATAGTCCAACTATGCCTGGAAAGTATTATTTTCAGTATCTGACGGAGCCTTTTCTTGGTCAAAAGCCAACACAACTTCTAAGACAAACAACGCAGACAGCTCATAAAAACAGCATCGCGTGGATTGTGATTGATTTAAACAACTGCTGTTCTAAAAACGGTGCTGGGACACCGGCCAAAAACTTGCACGAGCTTTTTCTTTCCGCCGAGACCAACGAAGTTCACAAAACACCGAAAAACATCGAGCCACTCACACCCACAAAGGTTCACATTAACACTCGCTTACCCTTTTTCTTTTATTCGCTCGCCTTCTCGACTGTCTTGAAGTTGAATATAAATATTTTAGTAAAAATTGATGATAGCTCATGTTAACCATTGTTCTGTCTTGACAGCTGAATGTGATTTTTCGGAAACTCCCGGCGGTGTTTATATGGAGGAACAGGCCAACCTAACTATGCATGAGAAGTCGGTTTTACTACAACCTACGTTGAGTGAGAACGAGTGACGTTGACCTGGTCCAATCAAAAGAGTGGAGTTAAGATCTTTTCCTTGGCGACATCCAATTAGCTGGCTGAGAATGACTAGTGGGCGGAGTTTAAAGTAAAAACAGCTGGTTGTTACTCCAGCCTGTATAGTTTGTACGAGCAGCAGTTGTGATGCAGTCGTAAGACGGCCAGGACGAATTTGGGGCGTATGGGAGTCACATGAAAGGAATGATGCAATGCTTGGCAACCAATTTCTAGCTGGGGATAACACCAGCAGAATCAGAACATGTTTTATTAAACACTGTTGGCTCTAACAAAAATCTAAAAATATACATATATGCATGGATATCTAATGTCGAAGAATTGTTTTGTTTTCCGGAACAGAAAAGCTGAATCGATTTCTTCACCAATTTTTTTTAAATGTTAGGAAAACAAAAGTGATATGGCCAATCAATTTAGCGCACACATGGTCGTGACGTGTTTATTAATTATGTTGCCATCCCCATCTTGTTTTTGCTTGACTTTTGTTCAAGATGTTTTCCTAAAGTTTGTCACAATGAAGCATTACACACGGGTTTATCAAAGCGCGACATTCGGAGAGAAAGGAAACAAAGTATGGTAGGCCGTTGTAACATATAACAGAACAACACTTTTAAGTAACTAACTAAAACAATTTTATTCGACACTGGATTCTAGCTTGAAAAAATAAAATTGATGTGTTAATAACGTAAAAGTTAAAAGCTTCATTTCAAGTTTTACATTAATATATGCTAAATGTATCCTCATGTAATTCCCTTTCCATCTATTAAGGTAGCGCGACTCGTGTTGCGAATGACCGCAGTCACCAATTCTTGTCATGTGTCTTGCCCATGTATGTCTGATCTCTGAATTGTGTGTACTGAAACTCTAATTTCGTTTCTCTGTATGTCTTGCACATGTGGTAGAAATGACAATAAATGACATTGACTGATATCTTACATTTTATGTGGCCATTTACACAGCATATATCCATTAATGTTAACAAATATTATTGTTTTAATATTCAAAATGAGTGTATTGTATCTTCAGAAAAGTTTTCTTCCACGCAAAAAAACATTTTGGATTTCCACAATGTACCTGGATATCTGTAGCTGTCAAAAGAAACGCAACATAAGTTATCTTAGGAAAATTGACATTTGCTAGATGGAACTAAATTAAATTAAGGTAAGCTCAAATCGTGACTAGGAATAATAAGTTTAAAATATTTATTTAGAAAATTTCCTTTCTAACTGTTATATGATAAATCGGCTTTCCATACTACAACTACTTTTAATTCCCGCTTTAAAACAACGCGTTTCTATAGTTGTGTCGTTTTATTGGTAAGTAGTATCTATAATATGTCTCAGACGTTCACAAGCGTGCGTGATTTCGGTCTCAAACATTTCATACCGCGCGCTCTATCACTGCAGCTCCGCGAGACATCAAAACACACGCCCAGTCTGGCGCGAGCCGGAGCTTGCCCCCTTCTCTTTAGTGCGATGCTTTTATTTTCAGCGGATGATGATGAAACTTAGAAGAATTCATTACCCAGTGATAGAAACTTTTATTCAATATTTCTCCGACTTACACGACGGTTACTTTAGCAGTAATGATCGAAATGTTTATCCATTTTCTGATGAATGTTTGTGAAAATTATCAGCCTAAAAAAATCTATAGTTTCTAACATTTTCATAAATAAAACAAGCACTACCGCCTATAGGATGCCTTAAAATATATGTATGTATGTATGTAGGTATGTATGTATGCATGTATGTATACACACACACACACACACACACACACACACACACACACACACGTATGTATGTATGTATGTATGTATGTCTATATATATATATATATATATATATATATATATATATATATATATATATATATATATATATATATACATACACACACATGAAATCAAACATCACTGTCCATCTACATTTTTTGTTTATTCATTATAATAGTTGTTTAAAGCAGATTAATTTACACTTACCACTTAGTTTGTATGGGTTTATGATAACTTATCTAAACATAAATGAGTTTTATAATTACTATGAATCAAAGCAGGACCTAGGGTTAAACCACAAAGTTCAACAAGGTCACTATCTCTCTCTCTCTCTCTCTCTCTCTCACACACACACACACACACACACACACACACACACACACACACACACACACACACACACACACACACACACAATTAATATCCATAGACAGTCAAGCTGTTAGAGGTAAACAAGAAAGTGACAGAATAAAATCAAGTTTCATCATGTTACACGTTTGATGGGTGGCTCTTCAGCCCGCTCTTGACACTTTCTGCCCTAATCCCAAACTCAGCGCGCACACACACACACACACACGCGCAGTTATTTTTTTTCTACGCACAGTAGAACGTGCGCGGCTCAACACGCACAGCCCCATAGCAACAGCGTCAAGTAGCGAATAGAAAGCTCAAATACTGTCTCTAGGACCCGGGTTAAAGCGCTGCAGGAAGCACCGCGAACACGTCACGATTTGAGTGGCTGTTGCCGAGTAGCTCAGCATACTTTCTCCACAGCCCTCCCTCTCCGCCCCGGCCGTCTGTTTGTTTTGTCAGTCCCGTTGTCTTCGAAGTGTCATTAGAAAACCCCACATGGATGCTTCCTGTACTTTAAAACTTGCTCATGGGCAACTCGGTTCTAATTTATTTGTTTCTACCCCCTAAAACGTGTCATGTAAAAGAATATTAGTTTTTAAATAGATATCGTATTTATTTTGTGTTATTTTATTATTTAATCACACATATTTCCCTCTCAGGTAATGTAAACAAGTGTTCCTAACTATCCTGTCCGTGTGAAACAGCATGTGGTTGAACACAATGCTATATGTTCCTCATGTGTTTGTCTTTCACTGTTTTTACTATTTCCCTGTCATGATCACCACACAATGGAGGCTTAGTGATGAAACAGCCTGATAATAGTAGATACGTTAATCAGACACAACATAATATTGTGTTCATTTATATTAGTAATAAAATAAAGGAAGAAAACAAATCTGACTTCAGTTGCTGGGATTTCTCTTCCCATCCACTTTGTGTTTTACATGCTGTGACTTTAAAACAGGATTTTAGTAGAAATTCTATATTTCAACAATTTAAAAAATGTGAGTTGATATTTGAAGAGATGAGCCTTTAAAAAATCAGATCCTGATTATTGATTTCTTTTGTTTTACAGACAGAAAGAGTCTGGGGAATTTCCAGCCACAGCATCACATCCCCGTTTTCTACCCAGTGTCCTTGGTCAAGGCTCCACACCCAGTTCTCTCTCTCTCACACACTCACTCGCTCTCTCTCTCTCTCTCTCTCTCTCTCTCTCACACTCACACTCTCACACACACACACACACACACACACACACACACACACACACACACACACACACACACACACACACACACACTCTCTCTCTCTCTCTCTCTCTCTCTCTCTCTCTCTCTCTCTCTCTCTCTCTCTCTCTCTCTCTCTCTCTCTCTCACACACTCACTCACACACGCACGTACACACACACACACACACACACACCAGCTGTCGGAATCCTTCTCTGAACTGAGACCAACTGATGCAGCTGTAAGCGATACATTAAATCCATCTTGTTTTTGTCCCTTCAGCTTCATGTTGACTTAAACTCTTGTTGTCGTGCCGCAGACTCCGTAAAATCCACAGATTTTTTGTTGAAACGTCGTTTTTAGAAGCCGTGGTCCCGAGACGGTGCTCTCAGAGAATTTAGGGCAACACAAATGGGACGTTTTGCAGACAGATTTTACCACCAGTGATTTGTTTTTGTGGGCTTTCACCTCCTGTCATCTTTATTTTTGAGACATCCAGATCAACTTTTTTAGCAAGTTCTAAATGACATCAGACCAGCGAGAACCCATCCAACCAGTCACACCTTACAGGTTTAACAACTAAGTTGTTGACCTTGTGTTTGAAGCTTTGGGACGACTTTACGGACAATCTTGTTAATTAGTTAAAGCCAGTTTAGCGCTGAGCCTCACGTATCTTCGCCCTGCCTGCTCTATCTTCCCTCTTTTCATTCGCTACCAGCCTGATTCTGCCCCGCGACTCTGGGCCGCTCACCCTGCTTACGCCTGCCCACCTCTCTGCCTCACAACAGGCTCCTCACCCGTCTGAACCCATTCAGGAAAATCTGACTGACGGAACTGATGCCGAGGTCCTTTCTGTGATTTCACATATCTGACATCAGCTCTTATTTATTTTATTATTTTTCCCGCTTTTGTTTTTAAGTTCCAGATTTGCGACAAGAATTTCGTTCCCCTTGTTGCAACTATTATCGTTTTTAACTTATATAATTGAAATCTCAAGATGTCTTACATTTTCCAAGCTTTAATTTTCTCCTAAAATTATTTCGACAGGCAGTTGTGTTTAGATTTTGTGCTTTATAATAAAAATCCTTCAGCGCATCACGAAATGTTACGTGAAAGTGGTGTGATTTCTTCATTCTGCTGTGTGTCAGAGGTAAAAACATGAAGACAATACACAGTTAAACATTAAATACCTGTCTGAGCGGGTGTGTATCCTGGCAGTGAAAAACACACATACACACAATCCCGGTTCTTACTCCAACATTTTGCCTTTTTTAGTTTTCCTCGTTTCATCAGCACAAACTCATTTTAGAGCTCTGTCTCATCAGCCATGTTAGATATTTTCTTTGTCCTGAGTAATAGGTTGGTGGTTCTACATGTCAGTTAATTCAACATTTTTTTTATTAAAAATACATTATAATTATTTTCAGACTAAGACCTTTTTAAAGTGTTTGTCTTTTAGGTCTGCTTTTGTGTCTAAATGAGCTTTAACAGATGGAGCGGTGCTGACCCAGTCCTCTGCTCCTAAAATAGTTATAACGTTATACGTTAAATGATCCGACGGGGCTTTCCCATGGATCTGATTCCTTGTGATTTACATTAATCTTTTTCAGCAGGAAAGTCGTCTCTGAGCCACATGCTGAGGAAAGCTAACGCCCTGACTCAGCATTCCACAGCAATAAAAGATGAATGAGATCTTGGCACTTTCAATAAAAAGTATTTTATTTCTACTTTAGTCCTAAATTAAGATCAATAGCAAAAGGAAGCTCAGTGATTGATCAACTTGCCGCAGCGTTCCTCAACTCTCAGGTGCTGTGGTGTCTGGATAACACACCCCGGCAACCTGATCCTCACCCTGCTGCCGTTATCCACCGGCCTTGGTCACTAATACCATCACCTGACATCAAACATGAGCCAGCTTTTTGTTTTATTGCTTTTTATAAACCTGATAATGCAAACGGGATATTTGAGCCTGACCTCAGAAACAACGAAGAACGTCTCAATAATCGACTGAGGCGGCGGATCAGAGCATTCTCTCCATTGAAAAGAGAATATTCTCCTTTCATGGGTTTACGCCGATAGGAAGTCAAACAGTGTTTGTTTACGACGACAAAACCGTAAACAATGACACCAGGATATGGAGCACTGTCTTCTAAAGTCTACTCAATATTTCTGGGTTGTGCTTCCAGAGCAAATACTGATCATTCTAAACCCATTTAAAATAAATTTATAGAACTAAAATGTTGTTGCATATAAATATACAACTGGCTGAGGAGTTGATTTTTGTTGCAACACATTTTATTGTGGTCACAAAACAACAATTCCAAGAGTTAAAGGCCTTTTAGTTGGTACTATGCTGCCACCCAGTGGTCATAAATAATTAAGACAGCTAAACTTTCTTATTTATAAGCTACAAACGTATAACCACCACCACCTGCTCTTATTTAATCTTATTTGGGTCATTTTTGTAAATGAAAAACTATCGGGTTTAATTGTAACCCATAGACGTCACAGACGGGCCGCTTTGAACTATTTTATTAGATAATGTTCAACAGGAGCCTGGTGTATTACTGATTTATTGATGGGCATCGGTGACCACAGATAAACAGTAAAGCTGCAACGGGCAAACAGAGTAAAAGTTCGTCTGTGGCGTTTGGTCTCAGTCATAGTAATATAGTTACAGGCGACCGAGTGAGAGGAAACAATGAGTCGGGCGTATTTACAAGCTTTCCTTCCACAGCAGGAGTCTGAAACTCACACCGTATCCCCGCTACTACAGTTAACAGTTTCTCAATATTGCATCCTTCAACAACCCAAATGTGACTCATTAAGTTAAGGTAAAGTTACAGAAAACATCCTTTAGTGTGAATTTCTGTAAGGACAGAAAGAATCTTCCATATGGGTACAGATAAAAGCAATCCAGTCTAAAACGTCACAACAGGGGGTCGAAAACAGCAGCACTGCAGTCATGTTTCAAATTTACAAACAGTTTCAAATTATGTCAGCCAGATGCAAGTGAAAGGAAGAGGACATGAGGGTGGACATTTGGTCTCCTTCTTGTTATTCCATCTAGAGAACGTCCCACTTAGTGAAAAAAGGCTGAGGCAGAAGCCAAGGGCGGGAGAGAGGACAGCACTACACCCCACACCCCTCCCAGCTGTGCTCTCTAACCAAATATTCATTGTCCATGTTGTAGTCTCTCCTGGACCGAGTCACGTTCTGCCATTGTTTACTTAAAAACCTTCATCCTCTGGTCAAGTGCTGCAAAGTTCTCCTCGATAGCCACCAGATTCTCCTTCATCGTCTGCTGGACCTGAGGAGACAGCAAGGCAATAGGAATGAGAAGACGAAGGAAGACAGTGAGGACAACAAGATGTGTCAGAAGAAGAAAACACACCAAGCTTGAGCTTTGCAGTTAAACAGGCTAAGACAGATTTGGATTTAGCCACTTAGCATGTGCACAAACAGAAGTTCCAGCTATTTAAACTAGATCAATTACTTAACCGCTCAGGAGGATTTATTTGTTTATTTTGTTTGTTATTAAAGTTTAGTGCTAAGCTTTAGCGACTGGTCTGAGACACAAATGCTTCAGAGTGCAACAGTTTCAGGTCTGAAGGTCCTACATCACGTAGGGCTGGTCGAATAATCAGTTATGATCAGAGTCTTTAAAAATCATAAAAGCAAAATGCGTAGATAATTTCTCCTCTCGCAGTTTACTAACACGCTGCCTCAAGTTGCAAATCAAGCGCTCCTCCCACACAGTGTCACCAACTTAGCAAGTTTCTCACTATTTCTAACAACTTTTAAGACCCCATTTGTGACTTATTCTCCCAAAGCGCCTAGCGAACAATCAGCATTTCTGATGACCCTTAGCTTTTTTCTCTCCAACTCTGTCGTCAATATTCTCTGCAGGTTAGCCAAACACCCAGCCTGTGTCCTAGATATTAGGAAAGGGAATGCTTTGCGCATTATCACGTCACATCAACTGACCCTTATCGCGGATCTTACTTACTCACAAAATCATTTGTTTTAGAAGCAAAATTAATTCGAGACACACATCATGTCTGAAGTGGATTTATATTTTATCAGGGCAGTAAAGTTTCACGTGATGAGCGCGAGACACACACTTGACTGTCTTCATACGTTCTCTCGCCACACCTCCAGTTTCTCATGCTGGTAAATAGTTCCTCTATGTGAGCGACACGTTTCATGGTGCTACTGTACACACTCCCGATGGCACCGTTGGACAGGACTAAATTATTATGCAGCAGATTGTGGAAGTTCACTACAACAAAGAAGTTTCCATTTTTTCTCTTAATTTTTATATTGCAAATGTTTGCACCGTATATCTCGCTTGACTTATTTTGACTATTTGTGTTGTTAACATTAAAGATCAAGTGAAATAATCGAGATCTCAATTTCAGTCCAAATAATCACCTTTTTTTTTTTCCATAATCGAGCAGCCATGTTTTGGAGTTTGTGACCACATAGTTTTTTTTCTTCTTTATTTCCTCATGCAAAACATGCCTATAGTGGCTTTTGGATTCATGCATGCATTTTCCTGCCTCAACTGCAAATCCTATCTGTTGTGCCCAGCAGGCTCAGTTCAACTGGATGGGTTTTTATTGCGTAACCATGCCCCGCTCCTCCCCATCTAGGTAATCTCAAATCTGGATCCCCCCTCCACTGGACTGTAAACACTAATGCTCAGTCTCTCCATGTAGCTAGTAGGAAGTTTAATCTCTACAGTTATGAAGTGATTTATTTCTTACGCTTCAAATAAAGCCTAGAACCCAAACACAGACTTTTGTCTGCAAGAGGAACAGGATCCCTCTCCAGTCTTACTGAAGAATCGACAGAAATAGTTGGATCTTATCGTCAGGAGTTCTGAAAAACGAGCCAGAATGTGATCATGACTTCACAGACTGCTTAAACTTCCGCCACTGCTGAAATGAGATTTCAGACGGATTACTTCTTCAAACTGACTCCATAACACAATGACCACCCAATGGATAGGCCAAAGAGGTAAGTACAACTAAAATGCTAACTGCTAGCTGAATGCTTTTAAAGTTCAGGGACAGACTGAGACAATGATTCAGGCTGGGAATCTGCTACCATCTCAGCCACAAAAAAACACACACACACACACACACACACACACACACACACACACACACACGTGTAGTGTTACCTCGGCGCAGATTCAGACCGACTCCCTGTAAACACAGACTACATCCCTCTTGTGATTGTTTTTGGAAAGGAGAAGAACTGGACCCCCCCCCCCCCCCCCCCCCCCCCCCCGTTGTGGATAGCTTCTGAAGCTGCAGCTACAAAACGGCTACAGAATCAGAGTTAGGGCTCGAGTTTCATCTGTGGTCTGAAAGGAGCTGATAGGAAAGCCACACAGGATGCTGTTAAGACTTTAAATGTAGATTCACTCAGTAGTTGTCTTACAAACACACCAGCAATGTGATAGTCCTACCTGTGTTAGCAGGGTGTTGTTGTCCTTCAGAGAGTTGTTGATCATCTGCTGAGTCGTGTCCAGGTGAGTCAGCAGCTGGCCAAACTGCATGGCTGTCAAATGGATGAATCGTTTAATTCCAGCATTAAATAAATGATGGCTGAAAAGTACTTTCATCTTTGGTAGAGGAGAAAACTGTTTGTCTAAATTCACCAGAGAGAAGAAAACTTTTGCTTCAAACTGTGACGGATCGTTGCAGAGACGAGCAGAATGATAAAGGACCTCATTCTGCTCCCAGAAAATCATCCTCAAAATAATCTATTGATAAAGTTATGCTTTTATGAGCTAAATAATAAAAATGTGATATCAAGAATCAGACATCTCCATCTCTCCGAAAGCAATTCTTTTAAATGTTGGTAAAGATTTGGTTTCATTCTGTTCCGATTATTCTGCTCTGTTATTATTTTTTGACAGACATGGTTTGGTAAGACTCCATTATCTCTTTGAATCTCATTTCCTCTTTGTTTTAATCTTTTGTTTCACACAGAAATTTCCACAGTGGATGCAAATCCTTCAAACCAGGACATATCAGATGCAGCCTGAAACGTGATCAGAGTTCACTCCCTGTTTTGATCTGTGGGGAATCGAAACTACCCCAACTCCTCCCCCACTATCCTACATACATGCTCCCCTTGAACCCTCATGGGCGTCATTTCAAGGTTATTTTTTTTCTCTCTCAGTTAACGATTTTTTTCTTCCTCATGAAATAAAAGAACTACAGCTAAAGCAACTCGACTCAATTAATTATCTGATGCTGACCTGCGACGGACTGGTAACCTGTCCAGGGTGTACCCCACCCGCTAGCCCAGAGACCGCTGGAGATGGGCGCCAGCCCCCCACTACCCTGCATGGACAAGCAGGTACCGACAATGGACAGATGGATTCATCTGATGCGTCTTACCTTGCTCATGCAGTTCCTTCACAGCAACAAGCCTCTGCACCACCTGAGGTATGGAAGTGGACACGGCATCCCACTTCTGCACCACGTCATACAGCTGTGACACCTGACGGGTAGAAGTACAGAAGCACAAATGTAGAAACAATCAGATTTATTAGTGTTAAAAGAATGAGATGCACCTGTGTGGTATGCCACAGATGCCTTTAAAACAAACAATTCATGTCTGAATCACGATTCTTGTTTTTAAAGATTCAGAATCAATCCTGTACAAAAGCCTTTATGCAAACTGCTGTATGTCTGAATGTCCCTGAATGCATCATTGCTGGAACTAGTGCTCACTCTGGCTGTGTTTCTACGCTGATATCTGCTGAAATACGACAGATACGTACCTTTATTATTATCCTGTGTGTGTTCTATGAGTGAAGTAGTAAGTTCCATTATATTTTATGTTTAAATGGTGTTATCCTGTTTAGTTTTGTTTGCCGTCTCATGCAGACTGCATTGTGCATAAATGATGCTTGTTTAGACTAACTTGTGCCTGTTAGTCTTCCTGTTCAATGATAAATGTAACTGGTTCATGCGAATATGTGCTACTGGACTAAATGGAGCATCATCATGTGAAGACTTCCTTCCATTATTATTTCCAACCTAATTAGGGTCATATGTGGTGTAAGAACTAGAAAAGTATCCAAGTTTCCTCAAACCCAAACATTAAAATGGTGTAGAAGAGTAATGTGTGATCAAGCCAGGCTGAGCTCAGCAACACTCACACAGAGGAACCTTTTACTGGTTTATTTTCTATTTAACTCATGAAAAGCTGAATGTTTAGGTTAGAATGAGGTTTTTAGTAGTTATCTGGGTGGATGGCCCCCTTACCAGAGGGCCATCCACCCTTTAGTCCCCACGTCTCCCCCACAGAGGGCCTTTGGGGTCACGGTCATACGCCTGGGAACAGCTTCTGCTCCGTTTGCTCCACTCCTGTTTAACTGTATACATTTCAAATGACTTTGGGCATTTCAGGTTTTCTTTATTTTAGAAAAAAAAAATTATTAAACAATTTCTATGCAGGACATGCTGCTCAGGCTGCCTGAGAGTTAAATGTTATGTGCTTTCTACATCTGTTCACTCAGTCTAAACGGCAGGATGAACAAAACAGAAAGTTTAAGCAGCTGTTAAATTACAGTTTGCCATTTCATTTTATGGCCACAAACAACGTCCCTGCGTTAAAAATGGCTCTCCAGTCTCATGTTAGAGACTTCCAGAACGTGCCTGTGACTCTTCTTTGAATGTTACAATCATTTGGGAATGTAAAAACTAGACCAGTTTACTAACAGGAAATCAGGGTGGGATTCTGGGAACATAGGCTGCTCCCTACTGGGCGGTTTCATGTAACAGTCTAGAAGAGGAAACCTTTTCTGAATCAATAGAGATGTAGATGCTTTGCAATAAAAGATGTCACAGATTTGGTGATTCTTTTCAAAAAGACACACAGACAGCTCCACAAGTCATTTTTTATTAACCAAACATTTACTTACCACGGATTCATGCTAGATTACCAACCTTGTTCTGTGTTTCAGCATCTTCAATCGCTGCCTTGTGCTTAGCAATCTCATTCATCTTCCCAAGGACGCTCTAGAAGAGAAGAGAGAAGGATAAATGACATAAAAGGCATCGTTTTCAGGCCGGCGGGTAAAGAAAGAAAACATAAGTGATGGCTCCGGGTTAACATCGACACCCATGTAGGGAGCATTCACCGTCAACATTATTTGTAGATCTGATCCAAATGTTTATCCAAACGCAACGTTTTTAGCGAGCAAAACGCAGCTGGGAGGTCATTTACTACAGAAATGTGGGCTGCAACGTGCAGATAGAGGAATGTAGTCTGCTATCCTCTCGTAGCAGTCAACAGACTACAGCTGGTGAAACAATATAACAATATGAGTCTTAAATGTGATGAGAATAATTTTCATGGAGCCACAGCAGACTGAGAGCTGCGTACGTTAGAGGACTCGTGTCTTTCAACACCTCCGTCTGATCTCTGTTGAGCAAAAATGATCAAATAGATGTTTGACAATGGAAGAAAAATATTTCTCTGCCTTGAGTGTGTGAATGTTACGCAACAGTGTGACGTAGATCTGTCAGGCCTTTTAAATCCTAGCATTTCACTGTCTATTTTCTATCAGAAGCTAAAACAGGAGATGTAGGGTGTAGGAGACTATTTTCATGTTCAGCCTGCATGAGTGACCAATTCTAATCATTAAGTTTTAAGTGAAACAACAAATGATGCAAGGAGAAACGAGAACAGTTTCTACAATCTCATGGCTGCGTGCTCTGTTGGGAGTGGTCACCTGCAGTCTCGCCTCCACTTGATCCAGAGTAGCAGAATCCAGGGCGCTGACTCTTGCCTGCAGGAGCTCAATGGTGTCCTGAAACGAAGATAAGCACACGTTACATAAATAAGCCTCAAATCTGTTTCTACATCGGGTGACGTCTTCAACGTCTAACCCAGTTTTCTTGTAGAACAGTTTACTTCAACAAAAAAAAAAGTTTCTCACCATCAAACTGCCTCCCTGCACACCAGCATTCAGTGGTCCCTACAATATAAACAAGGGGAAAATAAATTCACCACAGCAAAATGAAGCCTTTCCGTAAAACAATCAACTTTATTTCACGTTCACTTTGTGGAAAAAGACCCAAAAGGTTTGTGGTTTGAAAGCAGAGAAACGGATATTGTAGGGAGGAACTGTGACAAGCATTTCGGAGGAAGTGTGTAGGCACTGCGAGCAGCTCGGTGTGTACCTGCTTGTCTGATCCTGAGCCAACAGCCATTTCCAACTGAGCCAGACGCTTCTCCAGCACTGCCATCTACAGGGAAGGAACAGGCAGACTCGGTGAACACAGCATCCCACAAGGCTCGCACTTTGCTTCTTATTTCCTATCCTGTTTATCGTCATGAATTATTCTGACATCGACTCACGAGGAACAGAAAAACCCACACTGGGCAGCTGAAATGACTACATTTATTCATCCAAACAGGCTCTGCTATCTCCACCTCCACATCACCTTGGCAGACTCGTTGAATTTTTCCTGCTCCGGTCTGCTGTGCAGCTCGTAGAGCACCACTCCATCTGGACCTTTTGTTGCAGAAGTGGCTTTGGAGTCTCCTGCAGAGCTGCCACGACTGCCCTTAGCCACCTCCAGCTGGGTGAGCAGACGCCTGCAGGAAGGAGAGAGAGGAGGAAACAAAATAATTATACAGAACGCTCAACATAGTCATCAGCCTTATGCGTTGTCTGGAGTCGGTCTTCATCTTAGTCTAAGAACAGTGTCCCAACTACAAACCGGAGAGAATGAGCTGCTTTAAAAGAAAAAATAAAATAAAACATGTTAGTGCTCTTTTATTTTCTGAGTCAGTGTAGAATGCTTCTATTCCATCACTCTAGCCCTCTTCTGGTTTGTCCCAAGCCGAGTGCTGGCATGTTTCCCAGCTCTTTTGCTGAGAATGACATTTTGAGTCTTGCTCGTTAATATTCATAATGTGCTTACATCTGGTCTCTGATTGGCTAACATCAACACAACTCTTCTGCTACCTCCGTTTGCTCATCTTTCGTGGGTAAAAAAAAATTCAGTGTTGATGTTTTAATCTCCACAAATAACACAAGCCTGAAGGAGTTCGGCCATGTTGTGGAGTTGCTAATGCTAATGGTTAGCTTCCACTTGCCCACTCTGGTGTCTCATGGCCGCTAAACCAACACAGCCCTGCAACATAGCTTTTTCTGACTGACCGTTTTTCTGTTTATTTCCTTCCTGCAGCTAATTTTGGTGACATTACCCTGGCGAGCCATCCCATTTATGTAAACATCTAGTTTAGCCACGACCCCCGTCGTGGGGCGGATTCTGTGGTTGTTTTTCAAACAGTCTTCAGACGCAATTGGACAGCACTGGGACCAGTGAGAGCAATGAGCAACTTGACATTCATCACTATGGAAACCAGTCAAAGGGGCACTCGGCAATAGATCGTCAAAGAAGAAAACACAAATACATCCTTTTTGAAATAAAGGACCCAGTACCTCTATCTGCTCATCTCTCAGAGAAAAGCCAAGTCTAAATCGTCCAAAGTTGATTCAAACGAGCGCCGTTCTTGAGCACACGTTTTCATTTTCGTCCATTGTAGCTCTGGTGCTAAGCCCGCTATATGCCCCTCTGCAAATGTAGAGCACTGTGATTGACTAGAAACAAAATTGTTCGGGCCAATGCTAGATCTACTCTTCATTTGGAGCGTGGCCTACACAGAGCTAGGGCTGGGGGTAAACAATTAGTTTTAAAACGATAATTCTGACAGTTATTTTTTCGAATAGTCGACTATTCTAATGACTATTTAGACGATTAATCTAATTATTAGTATTTTTCTATTGCACAAGTAATAAAAAACAGAAAATCTCAAATAAATTCCTCAAAAAATGTGATCAATTGGTACTGTACGAGAATAAACGCTACAGGCCTTCCATTTTGTATAACACTGCTTTTATTGTGTTGCGGTTGGTTATGTTCTGGTGTCATGTAGAACTTGGGAGTGCAGGCTGCTGCCTGAGAGGTGGTTGGAGACGGACTGTCTCCATGCTGCTTTGTTTTGGTCACTTATGTGTGTGAGGCCAGTGGTGTTACGACTCTTCCTGGGGAGTTTGGCTCGTGTACAAAAAGGAAGGGATTTAAAAGTTAAAATGATGATCAGGTTTATTTACAACTACAAAAAAACATAAATCTTTCCATCCACGGGTTGGGAATAATAAAACTAATTCTGCCTGTGGGGAATTAAAACAAAAGTACAAAAAAGTAGGGATGTCCCACTGGGCAAAGATTATGGAGTTCTGGACCAAAATAAGGATCTCCAAAGGTCCAAACTCTAAACTGGGAGGTTAAACCAAACTCAAGGTGATATTTTAAACTAAACCGAAAACCCACAACACTCTAAATGTAATAAAAGAGAGATCTGCACCACAAAAAAGATTAACTCCAAACCAAAACATAACAGCTTATCCAAACGCAAGAAGCTGTTAGCGAAGATGCTAACAGTAGCTTTAGTTCAAGTTACCAAGTTTAAATAAACCAAAAATACCCAGCAGCAAACAGACCAGCACGGAGGAGAGACTGCTACCACAAAAACAGCTCTCGTAACGTCTGAAAGAAGCTCCTTTATGAAGGGAGAAACGCTCCCGGTGATGTTCTACATCTGCGATAGAGACGGAGCAGCTCATCTGACCCTGGAAGTTGTCCGTTGCCGGGGGACGAAGGCGGGCAAAACAGGAAAGGAATCTAGTAGCGGACGGACATTGTTCCGGGTCTTCGGTATTTGGTGGAGATGTTAGTGAAGGCGGAGAAGAGGGTGAACTAGAGGAAAAACAGGCAGATTCCACCTCTATTTACAAACTCCTGGGGATGCAACAAGTGGGCGTGGTGCGTCGACTACCGGATCTGACGTCGACTAATTTATAGAATCGAGCAGTCGATGTCATTGACGCTTCGCTACAGCCCTACACAGAGGTAAATCTTTAGCTACTGCTACGGTTTGTCTAGATTTCTAGAATAGGCAATTGGGGTTAAAGAACAGTTTCAGGTTCTGCATGATGGTGAAACTCAGAGTGACCGACCGTATTTCAAAAAGAAAAAGTGTTACATGGTTTCTCAGAGAATGAGACCTTTAATAATCTTTAAAATTTCTGTTTAGGATCAAGTCGAGTCTCTTATTATGGGTAACCTGGCTCAAGAAGCATCAGCTCACACTTGTAACACAATAACATAACCACACTAACAATAACAACTCTTTCCAAAACTGATTTTCTTTATAATCTGTTTGGGTTTTCTTTTCTTTCTTTTTTTTTTTTTAAACAAAAACATCCTTTTATCCACAGGTTAGTGATCTGGTTTCATTCATATTTGTAATAGTTTGTATTTGATTGAACAAGTAAACCAAGCTCATGTGGTTTTGAACATGGAGCTTCCTCTTGTAGGTTTTCGGTTTTCAAAGTTTACTTTGAACTAACCTGGCAAGAGCTCCATCGGGATCAGCCAGGTTGATGTGAGCCTGCGGTCCAAGCAGCGAGTCCAGATGAGCAGTGACCAGAAGCTGTTTGAGCTGTGCCGCCTGCTGGACGAGTACCACTGGGGTGAGGCGCTCTTCTGTCGAACTTTCCTTCGCTGTAGCCTGAAAAATAAAGTCAAGGACAAAAGAAAACAAATGGAAGATTATACATTATAAAACAAAGTTGGTGTTTTTGTTTTGTACTGGACTTCTGCTTCTTTACATTCTAGTAAAAACTAAGTAAAGCCTCTAAAAATCTACAAGTAGATAATTAAAGATGCTTTAGAGAATATACAGAACAAGCTAGGTTTGGAACGCAAACATGGTCATGGAAAACTCACTCTGGTATCTTCCATGAGACGCTTCTGCAAGAACCGGAAAATCGCAATGCCAGATCAAATGAGAATGGGGCTAAACACCAGTCGCCATTTTTAATGTCTAAACGTCTTTAGTTGTCCGTAACTTCTTGGTGTTTTTATATTTGAGACTCTGGTAGTTTGTACTAAAGTTGAAGTGGTAGCAGACAGCGGTTTCTTCTTTTGATATTACTGAGTGGAGAACCTCCCACACCAGTGGTGTTCTGTTGCTAAATACATGAGTGCTTAATGACTTGAGGACCCAGAGAAGAGCGGAAGTGCAGTGGTCCAAAGAGACCGACAACCAAATGGTCCAATAGTTGGCCTAGAATCTAGACCAGGTGTCCCCAACTCCGGTTCTTGAGGGCTACCATCCTATTAGGTTTCAGTGTTTCCCGCTTTGCCACACCTGAATGGAGGAATTTAATCCTCTCCTCAACTCTGCACAGGCCTGTTAATTACTCATTCATTTCAATCAGGTGTGTAGAAGCTCTGTCCAGAGCCGGGAACGAACCTGCAACCTTCCGATTACTGGACAACCTGCTCTACCTGTTCATCTACTGCTGCCCCCAAAAGCACCTCATCTGTTTGGTGGGCCAATCACAGAGCTCTATCAGCCAGGTGGGCGAGATAGTACTGGCGATGGCTTGTTTGATGGCTTTGGCATCAACTTCGGACAAAGTAAACTTGGGCTTTTTTTTTTTTTGAGTCAAGAGCAGACAGACGTACTTAACTTTATTTAGAAAAAGGATGTATTTGCATCTTCTATGATGAAGTATGATGGACCGCCTCGTTGACTGACATCTGTAGCGGTGAGTAAAACATGTTTTTTTATCCAATAGCATGCAGAGACCGTGTGAAAGACATTCGTAAACCCCGCCCCATGACTGATAGCCGTCAATGGGCTGTGGCCAGATTATATTTGCACGTATAGGATTGCTTACCAGGCTATCCGGTAGTTGCTTTCAGAATGAACGTGTTATTGGTGGAGGTTTTTAGACAAATGCAAGAGAACCACTTCATTCATTTTTCCCTCCACAATATAATTATAACTATACAAAGTTGGAACGTTGTTATGAGGCATGAAACAAATGTTTTAAGGCAATTAGTTTTCTAAATTTGCCATTGCAGCTTTAATGACAAATAAGGTCACATTTGTTATATTCTGGAACAGAATGTAATATTAAACTGGACTCTTAATGGAGAATGTTGCCTCCTCCTACAGTGTTTTATTACTTTTACATTAAGGTCACAAACTGCTGTGTTCTTGCTGTGTGCATTTTGATCTGCATGGCCTCTGATCAAAAGGACATTTTAAAACAATCAGAACACCGCCTGAATTGTAATTATTCTCTGGAAGCCTGAACAACCAGACACTGCAGTGTGTGCGACAAAATGAACGTCAAGCAAAGGTTAATTACGGTCTTCTTGATGGTGACTTTGTTAGTCCAAAAACAAACTCAATTAGTTTTTATCAAAACTTAATTTAAACATGAACCAGAAGCGTCATCAACCACGTGGGATGAAACTGTCGGGTTTCAGGTTTGGCTGAGAATCAAAGGAAAAGCTGCTTTTTCTTTAAATACATGATTACAGGGCCTCACATTTATGTGGAGGAAGGTCTAGAGGTGAAGTGCCTACAAACCTAAACGTAGATATTAAGATTTAGGACCAGATTAGATGAGACTGCCATTTCTACTGCTATTTTAGCCATAATGTGTCGGTACGCTACCTGGATGGTGTCCACGTCCTGCATCAGTTCCTGAATCTCATTAACCAGACGCTGATACTTCTGCTGAGGCGTCTCCTTCACTCCGCAGCCCTCTCCCAGCTAATGAAGAAATTAGAGAGACACGAGGGGTGAAGGTTAAACAACAGTAAAAAGGTGAAAAACCGCTGCCCTGAGACGTGCATAACTAAAAAACATTCACGAATGACATCACCTTAGTGGAGATGACAGAGTGTACTCACAATTTCAAACTCTCCTGACTCGTAACCGATTCTTCTGCTTTTACTGATTCTGTCTGAGAAGTCTGCAACGAAACAGACAAAGCTTGTGAAGAAAACAAGGATGAGTAAATGCTGTAAAGGGATAAATATGCTGATTTTATAAGTTACATTATTGAGAATTTATCAAATGGAAGTGAATTATTGCCTTGATTTTAAAATAGAAAAAGGCAAAACACTAAAAATCAGACTCAGAAACCCACATTATGTCAGAAACAACTCAAGTAAGAAAGTAAGTGATAATTTAGGCAAGGCAGCTTTAATTTAAACAGAGGCAATTCAATTAGCGAGAAAGGCATGGACATTAAAATCAAAGACCAGCATGATTGAAATGCATAAAATAATTTCAGATTTAGGAATCAGAAAAAAGCTAAATGGTGAGCAGTTACAGTGCAGAAGGTGCAGCAAAGGAAACATTCATAAAAAGGCTGATGAATACATGAATGTTTTGATATAAAAGTTAAAAAAGCAAAACAAAAAAATGTCTCATTCAGAGCTGGTGAATGTGGTGAATGTGGCACGCTGCCCGTCTCCTGTGAATTTGTATTTTTCTTGTTTTTGGAAACTTTTGTGTGCAGTGTTGCCCTGTTGCTGACTTTCAGCACTGGGAACTGCAACACTGCCTTGATTTTAACTGTTATAATTTTTACTTGTTTTTTATGCTATTTTTATTTAGAGCTGAGAAATAATCAAATAATCGATGCATCGGGATGCGGACATAAACGATTCTGCATCGTAGAAGAGTACGCCATAATCGATTATAGTGGAACGTAGTTTTGTTTTTTTAACGGCGGCACCAGCGCCGCATCCAAATCTGTCAGAGTGAGCGTCCTCCACATTTACCAAGTGGTTCCGCCTTAATGTGGTACTGCAGGGCTGAGCGCTAGAGTTGTAACCTGAGACCGAAACGGAACCAAATCAGCCCGACCGGTTCTGTTGGATTTGGACCGTGAATTATGTTAATTGAGCGGATTGTCGTGTGGCGCGCTCCGCTCGCTCTCACAGCAACTGAGAGCGAGAGAGAGAGAGAGAGCGACACTGTCTGCTCACACAAGAGGATCGGAGGACGCTTCTCCAAATACGCGTTAATATTTTCATAATTTAATTATTATTTCTCCTGGAAGCGCTCAGTCAGACCGAGTGTTGTGATGTCAGAAGATCCGGTCTTGGGGAGGGGGCGGGGTCAATGACGGCGGCTGCAGCGTGATCGTCCGTCTCTTTTATTTAGGGACACGGTGAAGTTAAAAGGAGAGAGTAATAGAAGATAGAAGTTTTTGTTCCACTTTATTCTTCTGTTTCATGATATTTAAATTCAGCTTAAAGAGAAACTGGGAGGAAGCTTTGGTTCATTTTAGGTTACAGGAGATCTTGTCTCCTATCTGCTCCTCCAGAGACAGCATGGACATGAGGGTTACATGGTGAGGGACCCACAGGACAGGTTAGTGGAAAGGTTTGTAGTTAGCTGGTTAGTGAAGGACATCCATCAGCTGGGTAATTTAATCCTAATCCAGTCCACAGCCTTCTGCTGGTGTTATTATCAGCAAGAATAAAACACACATCTGAAATATTATTGGAAGTGTAGAATTAGTTTTATGTTTTATTATTTTCTGCATCAAACAGAACTTGATTCATTCTCCAACAATTCAGAAATGAACCACTGGGTTCAAATAAAATAAACTAAGTCAAACATTTCATTTGGTGTTATTTCTGACAGACTTGAACTGTGGCATAAATATTTGAAGCTGCTCAGAGACATTAAACACTCATATGAACCCATTATGTATTTTATTATTACATTATGTGTCCTATAGGTTTTCAGTACTTTTTCAGATTTTGTGAGTTTTTGCAAAGCGTGTTTTTCTCAGCCTGAGGCGTGGTGTTGAACGAGGAAACAGATTGTTTTACTTTGTTAAATCTTCTTAAACGTTTAAAATGTTTTGTCCTAACCTGTTGTGAATGGAGAGCTTTTGAGGGATGGCAGGTTGTGTCAATTACGTTTTTGATTAAAAAATAAATAAATAAAAAGCAATTATCTGACATCGTCTATTCATCGATCAAAACAAATCAATATGAAATAATCGTGATGCATCGGGATGCAGAATCAAATTGAATCGTTGACCCAATAATTGTAATCGCATCGGGAGACAAGTGAAGACTAACACCTCTATTTTTATTGTGTTTTTAAAACTTTTTATTGATTTATATTACTGTTGATTACTGTGCCTATTATGGATGTGTTCAGCACCTTGGGCTGCTGCTAAGGTTGTGGAAGGTGCTCTATAAACGATATGACCTTAATGATTCACTTTGTTAGATTTATATACGATTTCCATATATATAGTCATGTAAAACATGTTTTTTCAACAGAAATGTATTATAGGGAGCTTTAAATTACACAGTAGCTCAAATTATTTAAGGCACTAACCACAGAAATATTAGAAAACCTTTAGCAACACCCATCCCCCCTAGCTTAAAACAGACAATCACCTACTTAAGAGTTCAATTCTTATAAAAACACAGAAAATGTTCATGATTTAAGTTAAAATATTGTAATACCATAACAATAATAATGATCTCACACAAACTGACCAAGTCCTTTGGTGCTGACATGTTTGTCTTTGAACTTGTCATACGCAGCGTTCGGGTTGACCACGATCCTCTCCACACTGTCGCTGCAGAGCTCCTCCTGTCACAGGTTAGTCACAAACAGCGTCACTCATGAAGACAGGATAAAAAAACTACTGAGACCACAAATTAAAGAAAATTAAACAAAACTCAGACTGCTGAACCAGTAAGGCAAAATGTCCAAAGCCACTTCAAATACACGCTGATAAAACGGGAACAATCGCTTGATTAATGCCCCAAATAAGAGACAGATATTAGTATATTAAAGCTAGAAGGCTTCAGGAATTACATTAGAAAACCTTCCCAAGCATTGTGGTTTGCTTTGTAATCAATGATTTGAACATAATTTAGAGAAAAAGGCATGAAATACAGGTGCTGGCCAGTAAATTAGAATATCATCAAAAGGTTGAAAATATTTCAGTAATTCCATTCAAAAAGTGAAACTTGTACATTATATTCATGCAATGCACACAGACCAATGTATTTCCGATGTTTATTACGTTTAATTTTGATATTTATAGGTGACAACCAATGAAAACATCAAATCTGGTATCTCAGAAAATTAGAATATTCTAAAGGCCAATGAAAAAATGTTTGTTTCTCTAATGTTGGCCAACTGAAAAGAATGAACATGAAAAGAATGTGCATGTATAGCACTCAATACTTAGTCGGGGCTCCTTTTGCCTCAATAACTGCAGTAATGCGGCGTGGCATGGACTCGATCAGTCTGTGGCACTGCTCAGGTGTTATGAGAGCCCAGGTTGCTCTGATAGTCGTCTTCAGCTCCTCTGCATTGTTGGGTCTAGCGTATTGCATCCTCCGCTTCACAATACCCCATAGATTTTCTATGGGGTTAAGGTCAGGCGAGTTTGCTGGCCAATCAAGGACAGGGATACCATGGTCCTTGAACCAGGTGCTGGTGGTTTTGGCACTGTGTGCAGGTGCCAAGTCCTGTTGAAAGGTGAAGTCTGCATCCCCATAAAGTTGGTCAGCAGCAGGAAGCATGAAGTGCTCTAAAACTTCCTGGTAGACGGCTGCATTGACCCTGGACCTCAGGAAACAGAGTGGGCCAACACCGGCAGATGACATGGCACCCCACACCATCACTGACGGTGGAAACTTTACACTGGACCTCATGCAACGTGGATTCTGTGCTTCTCCGCTCTTCCTCCAGACTCTGGGTCCTTGATTTCCAAAGGAAATGCAGAACTTGCTTTCATCAGAAAACATAACTTTGGACCACTCAGCATCAGTCCAGTCCTTTTTGTCCTTGGCCCAGGCGAGACGCTTCTTGCGCTGTTTCTTGTTCAAGAGTGGCTTGACACACGGAATGCGACACCTGAATCCCATGTCTTTCATGAGTCTCCTCGTGGTGGTTCTTGAAGCGCTGACTCCAGCTGCAGTCCACTCTTTGTGGATCTCCCCCACATTTTTGAATGGGTTTGTCGTCACAATTCTCTGCAGGGTGCGGTTATCCCTAGAGCTTGTACACTTTTTTCTACCACATTTTTTCCGTCCCTTCGCCTGTCTGTTAATGTGCTTGGACACAGAGCTCTGCGAACAGCCAGCTTCTTTAGCAATCACCTTTTGTGTCTTGCCCTCCTTGTGCAAGGTGTCAATGATTGTCTTTTGGACAGCTGTTAAGTCAGAAGTCTTCCCCATGATTGTGGTGCCTTCAAAACAAGACTGAGGGACCTTTTAAAGGCCTTTGCAGGTGTTTTGAGTAAATCAGCTGATTAGAGTGGCAGCAGGTGTCTTCTATATTCAGCCTTTTCAGAATATTCTAATTTTTTGAGATACCAAATTTGGAGTTTTCATTAGTTGTCACTTATGAATATCAAATTTAAATGTAATGAACATTGGAAATACATTGGTCTGTGTGCATTGCATGAATATAATGTACAAGTTTCACGTTTTGAATGGAATTACTGAAATATTTTCAACCTTTTGATGATATTCTAATTTACTGGCCAGCACCTGTATGTGTACAACTGCAAAAGCTTTACCTGGTGGTACAATCCTTTAACATGTAGCTTTTACTCTAATATGGTAAAATCATTTTAAATGAATGGGAAGAAGCACAACTTACGCTCTCTAAATCACAACTGTGTGATGATTTTAGGGAGCAAAATCTGATCAAATGTTTCTAGTGATCAGTTATTGTGAACTAGAGGCTAAACATGGGATTAAAACACCACCGACACAAGTAAGTGACATGATTGTGCACATAGGTTTGGATAAGAAGAGACAAACACACAGTAGCACAGAAGTCGAGGAGGGGGAGAGTTAGTTAGGGTCTTACCAGCTCCTTGAGTTTCCAAAGAGTTAAAGACAATAACAGAAGAGCGGAGAGGGAGAAAAAGTAGAGGGGAGAGAGAGAAACAACACGGATTAATGTGGTTATCATATGCCATGCACACAACAGGAACACCAGGCCGGAGTTTGAGGAAGAGAAGAAAGAAAGCAGTGTTCTCAGAGTTCCAGCTACAAACCCTGGAGACAATTTCTTTCCTTCTTCGCTCATTCGGGGTGGCAAGATGGTTCACAGAAAAATGTAGTCACCCTCTTTGGATGCCAAATTCTCGTTCATCATGTGATTTGGGTCATTTTAAAAACAACTGACAGGACAAAATTATGTGAATCATGATATTCAAAAATAATTTAGATTAAAATTCAATTTAATTCAAAGATACTTATTAATCCCAGAGGGATATTAGAGTTTCAGTACACACAATTCTGAGATCAGACATGCATACATAGACATAGACACATGACAAGAATTGGTGACAGTGGTCATTCACAACCCGAGTCGCGCTACCGTAATAGAGATCAGAGGGTTTACATGAGGATTGAGTAAGGTGGAGGGAAAAAAGGCACATTAGAGTTACCCTCCACAGGGAGGGCAGCTTTGCTATGCAAAAAACACCTCAGACAGAAATGCAACAGACTTCAGACATTATACAACATAAGTGTCCACTAGGTGGGGAGGCAGGGTTTGGGACTCTCCTCACATCAGTGCATGCAGCCGCAATGAGCAGTGCTCATCACCTCCGTTTGGACAGGGGAGGGAGGTAATTGGGTTAGAAAGCACAGTGACTCCTGGAAATGGTTCCACAGCCTTCACCGGTCACAGTCCCGCCCAGGCTGAGATAGGGAGACAGAGTTGCCATGGCGACGGCAGTATTCCACATTTCTTCTGAGGGGGAGTATTTGTTTCAGCCTCACAGGCTCAAGGGCACCAGATTCAGATAAGAACTTGTTTTTGGGGTCAGACAGAGAACTTCCTCTCTGTCTTAAAGTTCTGTTGATCTCCAACCCCTCTCGATCCAATAATGGCGTAAATTAATCTATTCCCAACCGTGCTGTCCCATTAACTCTCTCTTTGATCGAATCCACCTTCTGTGCCAGAGCCTGAATCTCAGCCAAAGTTCCAAGCTTACGACTCACCTCGACAATTATATGAGTTTGTGCGTTCACAGCACGGTGTAATCCATCCCTGAGCTCCGGGATTGAGCCAATATTCCTCGAAAGCTCATTAGAATCAAATGTCTAATGTCTCTTGTGCATGAATTTTTAATGATCAGAAGATAGATAGATAGATAGATAGATAGATAGATAGATAGATAGATAGATAGATAGATAGATAGATAGATAGATAGAGCCAATTAGGATGAAAAAAAATATTTTATGATTCACCTTAGGTTTAACATGTTACCATTAAGGCTCCAACAATGAGGACCATTGTTGTTCTCTAATGGTTGTTTAAAATAATTCATGCACAAAATACATATAGTTTAAACTTGAAAACTATTTGATCTGAATACAACAGAAAAAAATATATAATTATAAGATTGTGTCCTACATAGAAGCAAACACAATAAATACTAGGGGGTCTATTATACACTGGTTAGCCTGTTAGCTAGCAGCAAACTAGACCTACTATGAGTTTACGCACTTACCGACTCAAACTGAGCCTGGTCATCCTCTGGAAGGTCACCGGTCTCGTACACGTCGGGTTCGTTAAAAGCCTATAAAACAAAATGTGATTAGACTTTTTGTTAGCCTGGCCAACGCCCTGGCCCACTCGTCAACACAGCTCTGCTAACGCTAGCACCGTTATTTGGTCACATAACAAGACAACACATAAACAGAAAAATCCCAACAAAAACTAATTTGTTAATGATAAATGCACAATCCTAGACAATAAGGGGGATAACAACAGTGATAGTTGCTAACAACGCTAGCCAACATCACCATCTTACGATGCTAGCGTTGGCCACTTACAATTCCTGGTAGGTTTGCGTATTTGGGATCAGCCATTGTCAACAGGAAGATATAATTTGATCAGAAAACCACAATAAAATACAACTACGGTCCCTAATTCGTTCAAATTACCGATACACCGTCTGGATTTAAGACAAAGGCTAACGTTGGATGAGCCAGCAGTAAGCCGGTGGAGAGTTGCAGGCTTGATGTCACTAGCTTGATTTGACAGCGTGTGTGTGCTCGATTTAGTTCACTTGGTTGTCACGTGGGCGGTGTTTAAATCTTGGTTCATGGTTGACAGCATGACGGGTTGAACAAAACAGTTTAAACCAACGCTCCCACAAACGTGTTTCAACGTCATCGCGCATACTTTTCTTTTTCAATGGGACGTTGGATTGTTTTTGGTTTTGTTCAGAAACAAAATAGCTTGAACAAAGTATAAAAACGTACAACAACAACATTTTTTTTCTAGTTTGTTTTAGGTTTGAAAAGTCTTGTTTTGAATTTTAACCACTCAAGTCACATGGTGGCGCCAAAAATACGTGTGAAAAACTTAAATCAATTGAACAAAGATTGTAAATTCAAGAAGATGATTGTTGTGGAATATAAACAAGAATTTTAAAGGAAGGCAGTTGTGTAAAAAATAATGTAATGTATTTTAATAATACTTTTATCTTTGTTTAAAGATAGTCAGTAAATTACAATTGCGCCTTATAATTTTATTTCTTTCATTGCTATACAACATTGTTTAGCAAACGGTACAATTAAAAAAAGAATGTAACAATAAATACCTATATTCTATAAATTTGCTAAGAGATAAAATGCCGATTTTAGGGTTAATAATTTATTTTATTAGGGAAAATCTTAGTCGAACAGTAAGATACAGTAGTTAGTGTTTGACTAATCACAAATAAGACTGAGTTTGTTTCCTGAATTCCTCAAACATATAGGCCAGTCATAAACTTGAGACAGAAAATGTAATACATTATCTTCAAATGTCGACCCAAGTCTGCCACATTCATCCTAAGCAGTGGTTTCATCTTAGTGCAATGCATCAAGTCCCTTTGAATCTCTTGCAGAAACAACTTGAGCCTTTAGTTCACACATGACTGCACTGCCATGCCATGCCAGTGTTATCAGTGGGAAAAGGAGATGCTGGCCGCATCAATCAAGTTTTGGGGGGCGAGCTGCAACCCAAGGAACCCAGACAAATAGAAAAGTATGTTTAGGAACTTTTCAGTGAGTAGAGATAACGTCATCTCGCTGCTCTCTAGTGATGCTGATGAGAGCGGATATGAGTCGCTACTCCAACAGGCCCCGCCCCCACGGAGAGGGCAGTGATGCAAGCATGCTAGAAGCCTGCAGACACGCCGGACCCCTTTGGAGTATGCGCTCCTGATTCACAAGTCTCCAGGTGTTCTCCACCACTCAGCGGCACGATTTTGATCTGAGGGCAAGAAAACACCGCAGCATGCAAATTGTTTTGTTTTAGTTTCATATTAATTCAATTATTTTTCTTTTTGCATCCCAAAACCTCATTGCATGTGGGCATATTCGGCTGCTTCAATAGAAAAACGATTTGCAAAGGGGTATTATTTAATATTATCATAAAAAATATATAGCTCCCGTTTATCTGGAATCGCATTTACTATTCTCCTTCCACAATGGCTGATACCAACGCTGAATGCAACATCAAGGTGTTGTGTCGATTTCGTCCGCTCAACGAGTCGGAAATTGTCCGCGGAGACAAGTTCATCCCGATATTCCAAGGAGAAGACACTGTCATCTTCGGGGTGAGTTGTTTCTCATCATTTCTCTACCAGCGTTTTCATGACGCCGCGCTCCACACTCACCATCAGCTGCTGCTGGACGGGAAGGAGGAAAAAAGGTTTCTGACAAGAGTCAAACTAACTATAGTCTTCATCGGTATGACTGGCAGGCTGCAACAGTGTGCTGCAGCTGGAGGCTAAAAATCTGACATTAAATCAGGTTTGTAGAGGGGAAAGCCCTTTAAAATAAGCCAAAAATAAGCGTGTTTGCATATTCATAATTGTTTTCTGGTCACATGTCTCTATTTGTGCATAAAAATAGAAAAAAAGATTAATCTCTTGAATCTATATGGACCCCACCTTTTTGATCCTCTGGTTCGTTATTTCCTCCTCTTCTTCATTGATCTTCTGGATTTTGTTGCTACTCATCTCAGATAGTACCACTGGGCTATTGATTCCCTTAATTCTTTAATGTGCCGGTGAATTATCATGTGATGCACATCTAACTCGAGTCATAATTATGCTCTGTGGGTTGCTACAGATCAGTGAATGGATTTGGCTTTGCTTCAGACAAACTGAACAGAGGCTGATGATTACTATCAGTGCTGGTGATGGAAATTAACCAAGCTGAAGATGTTTGTTTGGTTGATGGATGAGCACCTGAGGTTGAGGTTAACAGTGCGATTGTGATCCAGCACCACTGACATTTAAGCAAAATTAATTGAAGCTATGGAGGGGAGGGAGGAGGATTGCAGAGCTCTAAATGCAAATGTTGAACATCTGAAGTCAAGGCTATGATTTTTCTGCACATACTGTGCAGAAATGGGCATGCATGCATAAATGTGCATAGAGATGGTTTTCCAACTCATCAAATCGCCAGCATTTCACTATAATTGTGCACACACACTTACTCACATACACAGAGAGAGAGAGAGAGAGAGAGAGAGAGAGAGAGAGAGAGAGAGAGAGAGAGAGAGAGAGAGAGAGAGAGAGAGAGAGAGAGAGAGAGAGAGAGAGAGGAGAGAGAGAGAGAGAGAGAGAGAGAGAGAGAAGAGAGAGAGAGAGAGAGGAGAGAGAGAGAGAGAGAGAGAGAGAGAGAGAGAGAGAGAGAGGAGAGAAGAGAGGAGGAGGAAAGAAATCCACACCCTTTTGGTTTGAAGGCTGACTTGCAGTGATGATTGGGACACAGAAACCCCCTATCGGTTTTCACACACACACACACACACACACACACACACACACACACACACACACACACACACACACCACACACACACACACACCTTTCTACATGATTGACTTGCATATCTCATATTCTAGCAGCAGGGTCTTTCCAGCTGATGAAATTTAATTGAGCTGTGTGTGAATTATCACACTATTCAAAGGATTTTGGAGGATGACAGTTTGAGGTAACGACTTGAAATGATTAATTTTTGCATCAGTCTCAGCTGTTGTATTCCAACGTGTTCTGAGAATCTTGGCAGAGGAGCAGAAGTTTTACAAAATTGCAGAAAATGTTCTTAGGATTATGCTGCTTATTTTTTTAACTTTAAAAAACAGGTTGAACCGATTTTAGCGAATCGTTTCAGACGCTTCATATTCCCCTTTTGAAGTTGTTGTCAAAAATTCCTCTGAAAATAACATACTTGTTTCCTTTTAGAGTTTTTGTCTGCAGAGGGCTTAAAAACTCTGGAAATACAAACTGTTCCACTAAATTATAAGTCATTTCACCTTCTAAGCATCTCTCAGATGTTCCTCTATTCAGATGAATGTAAATATAACAGCAGGAGGGTGATTTACATTTCATGAATAGAGTCATGTGATGCATGTGAAATGATCTAGACGTGTAAGTGTATTTCAGAGTTTGTATTTCTGTATTTCCTTCAGCAGAGTCTCAGAAAATTGTGAAAGAATGTGCCTCCTGAGATTTAAAATGTCACATTTGATAAGGATTTAAAAAAATCTGGCCAACAGGCAAGCAGCCAACACTCTGAGGACCCAATAGGAGCAAGTTAATGCTGACATGGGTGAAGGCTGATATAAACACTTCCAGTCTGGGCTGTGCTGATGGCCCATATTCCTTGCAGGACTCGATAACAGACAGTGGCGCTGATTTGACTTGTTGAGTGATGGCTTGGCTCGGTGGTAGTCAGGAGGAGACTTGAAGAGATTAAAGATTACAGAAAAGTATATGATGCTGTGGTCTGAAATTATCTCCGTAAAGGCTTTAAAGGCTTATTAGTACAAAGTGGTGGGGATTTACTTCAACTCCAAAAATGCATCATAAAATATGAAAGAAATTAAAGTAGCAATATAGGTTTAACTACAGCTTTAACATTGATCTAAGTGATCGTTGAATTAGAAACTAACCAGTTTCATATTTGACACCACTCTGCAGCCCTCTGCTGACCTAAAGACACACTTGATAGTTTTCTGGAGCAGGTAGGTGCCCTAGGGGGCGCTCTTTACATGCTTTATGGCTGTTAGCTGTAATGCTAGCAGATCAGCATTTTCTGTTCATCAATCAAAAGTACAAGAAGGAAAAAAGTTTGCTTTTTCTGTTAGCATCATGGTGGAGCCTGGAGTGGAAAAAAAGTGTCTTTGGAGGTGAAGCAAAACAGGAGTGAACATCAGCGCGGCCCTATGCTAGTTTGAGGGAGCTAAAGGAGGCTAAAAATCACAGACTGATTGTGACCTGGCATTGTTGTTACATGACTTGTAAGTAATAATAATTTTTGCCCAACAGTGTGGATCTTTTTACTTCATGGTTTATTTTAGTATAGGGGAGCCTAAATCACGTCCATCTACTTACGGACCATGGCTCCCCGGAAGAACAAAAAAACGAATTTAAGTCAATGGGGCTAAAAACTCTATTTTCTAATCCCGTTTGTTATATGCCACGGATTTCACATATGATGTCTGTGAATTTTAAAGACATACTGATGCCAAGAATGCACTTATTTTCAAACAGTGGCAAAAGTCTTTTTAGGTTTTATGTACAAAACAATTGCGCTGCACCAAGTTGACATCATCAAACCAGACACGAATAAAAGCTGAGAAAAATGGCTGTAAGTTCAACAAACTTCAAATCCTTCCTTCAGGAGGAAAAAAAACACCATAAATCTGGCCATGTGGTAACTTGCAGCTACGCTAGGGGAGAGGGAGTATCTGTGGTGATGTCATATATGCGATATATCGTCGTCTGATTTGTAGTCATGCTAATTACAAATTTTTACAAACTGATAAATCTTTAAGTGTGTGACTGGCGTGGTCGAAACACATATCATTATACTTCATTTAAATTGAAGTACGACATGTATGCGATGTGCGATTCCGGGCATAAAGTAAAGCGAATTAGAAAATAGCTCTTTAAGCCCCGTTGATCCATGAGCCGACCGGAAAGAGAGGAGATTTAGGCTCCCTATTTAGTTGGCTTGTGTTAGTGTCATCTCATTGCTAGCGCTAGCTACAACAGGGTTGTTTATGACAGCCGTAATTCCACTTCCAACCAGTAGGGTGGAGGAAATTGCTCTTTGTTACTTTAAATTCTTAGAAATTAAACTTTTGAGCAAAAGCATCTGGTTATAAGAACAATGAGAGCTGCATCATGAGAAAATAAACAAACAGATATTTTAAATTCTCTGAACTGATGAACCAATCACAACAATTTGTACAAATTCATGCAGCGATTTACAGAATGCAAACTTCCAATGTGAGCGGGAAGCCAAGATAAGGTTCAGTCAGATCAATGTTTTCAAAGTAAGCCTATTTTTTGTCTATTCAAGCGTGATCTCATAATCATCAATGACAAGCCTTCAGGTGATGCTGGGAGATTTAAAAAAAGATAAAAATAAGAAAAATTCAGAGAGAAAGAATGGGAATTCAGTCTGCATTGGGAAACCAAGGACTATTTGTGAACAGCAGAAAAAAAAGATATAATTTTGACTTTGTGATCAAACTGCCTTCAAAACTTGCAAACAGAGCTGTCAGATCACTGCTTCTTGACTTTAAATGAATACCATTTTTTAAACATGTTGTGAAATATATGTTTTTATTGATAATTATGTTTTTGCTGCAGGGAAACATTTGGGATAGAAATAAAGGACGAATTCAAGCCTGAGGAGCGCTGAATCATGTGCAGTCTAGCATTCTGTGTACGTGCGTGGTGTGTCTGTGTGTTTGTTGTAAATCACTCAGCTATGACAGAACAGCTAAATTTAGCTCAACATCTGTAAACCTGGTGAATTTAACCATGTTTCTGTTGCTGATGCTGATCAGCTGTGGTGCTGAGATTGACTCTAGAAGGGAATCACCTGCAGGTGAAAATCCATGAATTAATCTAAGAGAATTTCATTAAAATCCGTCAATGGATGGATCCTCCGCACCGTTACCCGTCGGTTTCTGAAGAGCTGAATTGAAGCCCAGTGGGTAGTTCCACCATTCTTGGCTGTGTAACGCATCTTGTCATTCCTGGAAAATACAAAGATGGAGCTGAGAGTGAATCTGTGAGCTTGGGGGTAGAAGATTGAGACCATCAAATTCTGAGCCGATGTAGCTATGAGCTAACCGCAGCTAACAGATGTTAGCGGGTGCTTTTAGCCAGAAAACCACATTTGAGTGACTCTGCTACCCTCTGCCCTGTAGACTGATACTCTAAACATGAGGCCTTCCATGGGACAAGCAGGAGGCAAGCTGCTAGCACTGAAAGCTCATCTGACACCTATCAATCAAAGGAAACATCCCTACTAATTACATCTTAATGGATAAGTTACAAAAAAGTCACCCCCTCAGAGCTGTCACGATGGTAAACTTACCAACATATTAAAACTAAAATGATTTTTTAAACCAGGCCGTAAACTTGTTTAATTCTGCTGTGAAGTTAGCATTTTTAACATGGAAGTCAATGGGAACTTGCTCCTTTCTGGAGCCAGCCCCTAGCGGATGAAAGAAGAACTGGCAGTTTTTGTCACTTCTGTGTTGGCTTCATGTTTGGCAGCCGGAGTATGCCCCTTGTCGATGACATA